ACCTACAAACAAAAGGAGCACTCGTGCGCATATTATGAAAACTTTATGGCACTGAAGACTTAAAGGACGGTGGAGTTTACGATTTACGTTCGAGGTACTATAAAAATATTTTATAGTTAAAAATTAGACCCTTCATTCAGTTATTTAATTGTTATCTATTTTAGATAGAGTAATACTCGTAGTCTTACATGGACTACTCTCATGTGTCAATACTATTACATTATTTAACATAAGTATGTAGAATATATAAATTACCTATTATATACTAATGACTTAGCCTTGCTTCGCTCGGGAGCATCCCTAGGTACGTTTTAAAGAAAAAAAAATAGTTATTAAAATCTTTTTCTTAAAATTGTAAAATCGAATTTTGTGAAGTTTTAAGGGTTTTCATTTTATATATTTCCGGCATAAGATATAGGTACCCTATACTTAGGTAGCTCTACAAAATCCTCTATTTTACAGTGAAAGACCCATTACAGTCGGTTAAGCTGTTTCAAAGATTACCCCGGACCAACAGATAGACAGAAAAAAAAAGGTTATAAATAAAACTATCTTTTTCCGTGTTTTTCGCGGATTTATTTTGATTTTTGGTTCCCGACGTTTCGAATGCTTTACAACAACTTCTCTCCAGACAGCAAGTATTTCCCATGACCATGAGTGCTGTAAAGCATTCGAAACGTCGGGAACCAAAAATCAAAATAAATCCGCGACAGATCCGATAAGATAGTTTTATTTAAAATGTCAAATATTCGCGTAAATCTGGGAAAGTATTATTAAAAAAGTCGTTTAGGTACGTACTGGTAGTTATCATGTAAATGACTCTACGTACTTGAGGAAACATAGTTATTATGAAAGCACAGACAGACACTCTAATTTTATTTATATACGTATACATATATTTAATTATTAGAAACAAGACCATTAGATATCCAAAAACATTTACCACTAAATTGAAACCTGCGGTTTTGCACTTATATTTTCCTCAAAGATAACTAACAAAATTATTAAATTACAAAATAATTTAAAGGTTACACCAGTTCAATAAAATGCCTTTGTTCTATGTTTTAATAAAAATAAACCTTTAAAAACTTTACAAATGTCAGCAGTGTTACTAGTATAGCTGGAGGAAGGTAAAATTACCTTTTATCGTTCTACAAAATTAGTGCCTCAGACCACCCAAATCGGAGATTTTAGTAGTATCATAAAGACGGAAACGTACAATACGGTTAGTTAACAACAAAAAACCGATTTAGCTGTAACTCGGATATATCGGTTACGTAATAGACCAGTTTCTGTTTTCATTGATTACGAGAAATGGTGTTAAACTGGAATAGAAGAAGTTCTTGTTATTTATACTGCCTGGTGTAGGTTTATTTCAAATGAAATAAATCACTATACCCAGTTAGTGAAACCATTGCAACGGTATAAAATTTATTAAAAAAAATATCGATTAAAATTAATAGCTTATCGATAACTTAGGATTAGACGACGTCTTTCTTGTATATTCTATACCGATAGTACATTTTATAAAAATAGAAAAATATAAATACGTCACAAATCTTCCTGATAATTAAACATCATATGTTCGTACCAAATTTGCTTTTTCTGTACTAATTATTACTATCTTAATAACAGAATAAAAGAATATTACCTACACTAAATTATATAACAAAAAATAATAAACATTACAAAGTACGCAGTAACAAAACAAGGTCCCAAGGCCTTATAAAATGTAAAACAAAAAAATGCTCTTAAAGTCTTTATGTGGTCTTAAGTTGTCAAAACGAAGCGCTATAAAGGAGACGGGTCACAAAATATCAGATTTAAATGATACAAAATACTATTGAAACGTGGTTAGGTACATACAATATTCATCTTTTTTTTGGGTAAAGTCTTCTTGATTTTATCTATTTCTAATTGTTGTATTGATTCGATATTCGATGAAAATATCTCATCTCTGAGAAATATATACTAAACGTTAAAAGTTAAAACGTAACTAGGGATCAACCCAAGCGAAATTTACCGTCATTCAATATGAAGAAATATGGGTAGTTCCATTTAAACACCGTTTCAGTTCATACCACCAAAACCGTAACTGTCACAACCGAGTATTTTGACACAAGTATAGAAAACATGAGTTCTCTTTGAAGCTAAAGCACAATGGCATTGAAAACAAAAGTGTAAACCATTTTGGTGTATGCAAATGCGAGATACGTAATTTAGATTAGCCTACACGACGCTAGTTGGTATGCTGCGCGCGCGCATCTAAATTGTCTACAGCACGTGGAATACATAGGGATTAGGAGGACTTTGGAATAGATTGGGCTACATTGTATGGGACAATGTACATTATTATACATTTTTGCAACTAATTTAATATTTTTCATAAATATTTTTGTAACAAAACACAAGTGCAGACCCAAAATCTAGTTTGATCTACATTATTAATGTAATACTTTCTTAGATTTACGCGAATATTTGACATTTTAAATGAGACTATCTCTTTCTATCCACAAAAGGTGCTGTCCATAACAACTAAATAAACCTTTGAGAGGTCTAAATCCTTAGGTCTCCCGTGGCAATGATTGCTGTAAAGCATTTGAAACGTCGGGAAGCTAAAATCTACATAAATCCGCAAAAAAATCCGAAAGGATAGTTTTACTAAAAATTATTAATGTATATAAAGATGTATATAAAGATGACTATAAAGATTAAAATATTAGATACAGCTGAAGGCAATAGTATTAAAATCTATATCCCTAGATCTTCTAGCTGTCAAGCTTCATCTTGTCCTTAATTAACATTAGTAAGAATTATATAATAGCGCCATCTATTGAGTTCACAATTATATTGGTTATATCGGTAAAAAATTTTTAGAAGTGTCGCCGTAATAAACACGAATACATATAAAAAGTATCGTTCAAAAATTCCTAAAACAATAGTTTATTAGAAACCTACATGAAATGCTTTGCATTGCTTGGTAAGCGCCTCACTCGAAAACGGTTTGAACGATTTGGTAAATTTTATTAACATATTCGTAATACGAGTAGTATCCTTAAAACATTTTAAAGAGATTTTTTTTTACTTTTTATAGGATTTTGATAGGAACTGGAAGATCACAAACATTAAAATTTCAACATCAAGCAACGTCTGTCGATTCAGCTTACCAATTAAATAAAAGCCTTCTATCCTATACAATATTTTTATCTATAAATATTTTAATGCTATTCTTCGTATGCCGCTGTTTTTAGTCAAGTAGTAAAAGATGTTAGCAAAGGTCGCGTCGTACGCGTTGCGTATAGTGATACCGTTTGTGAACCGGCGCCAAACTCAGCTGAGGAAGATTGGCTTGGGGTTTCACAATAAGCAGATAATTTTGAATGAAATATGTCACTTAATACTAGTAAATACCGAGAGCTTTGTCTATTAAAATCAATGAATTTTACTACAAACTTTCATTATCTTTTACGTAAAGGTATCATTATTAGGTATAATAGCAACAATGTCGACCCGATTTCTATAGAAACAAAATCAAGCATTATAAAATTCTTCAACCTGACTTGAAACATTAAATAACCAAATAGAATAATTATAGCATTTTTTTTAATTTAAGACGAAAGGAACAATAATATACTCCTATAATATTCTTGTATTAAAAATGAAACCGTTATATTAAATATAACACGTTCTTTATAAAACATACTATGTTTATGCGATATTTGTATTTTGCTCTAACAAAAATGATGCAACTTCGTCACTTAAAAATAGAAATTATTCATAACCCAACACCTGTATAACTTAAAAATTTAGAACCAATAAATAATCCGCCACCCTTTGCCAAGTCGTAGGAACTCGTTTTTAATAACAATATATACATACATATGTATATATATACCAATTTAAAACATACATATATAGGAAGACATATATGCGATATTTTTTAGACCAATCTTAGTAAAAAAAAAGAAAGGATAAAAAATGCAAAGAAGGAATTTAAAAGCATGTTCTATACAAAACACATATTTATTAAAATACTACCACAGATTGATAAATAATTGACGGAGCCTACGTGTAAAGGAGAAGGAGAATAAAAAGTACAAAGCCATATTCAAATCAAATTCCTAGCTTCCCTAGCATGTTTTTTTTAAATATTTTAATTCAAGCCCAGATTAAATATTGTTGCAGAAAATAAAGACACTTTATACCACATATATATTTATACAATATCTACTGCTCATTAGCTAAAAAATATAAAAAAACGAAGCTCCCTTTTTACTCAATTAGTAAACATTTAGAAACCATTAAAAAGAAAATCGAGATAATTTGAATGACGTCTCTGAATGTTTTATCCGTGGTTAGAATATTTCATTCTCATGTACTTAAAACCTTTATAGTTTTGCACCAGCCATATGTATTTTACAAGGTTAACATGTCTGTTAAACTGTCTTCACGACAGTATAGGTATTTCCATATATAGCTCTTATTCCAGTCTGACCTACGTGTAACAGAGATGAATACAAAGATATAATAAAATGATAAAAGAAACATATAATAACCTTTTAAAAGTGAATTTTCAATAATTATTTGTTTATATTTTTGATATAATATGTGCACTTGACCATAGACTAAGATCCTTTATGCATAGGCTCCGTCATAATGATTAATAAAAAGATGACTATAATAGAAGATATGTATATTATAATTTATTTATATCAATTATAATATTTATGAACAAACTTACCTCTCATATTTTTTAATAAAATTAATTTGTAATTATTTCTCACCAACTACAGAAAAGCACTGTATAAAAATACATCCAGAGTAATTCTTCTCATTTCATAAGAATTATTGATTTCATGTTATTAAAAATGAACTTCAAATAAAAAAAAAACATAAAACCAAAAATATTTTGTCTATAATTTTCTATAAGAAATATGGTTAAAAAATATAACTGCAATAGATGTTATTATTAATGATTTCTTATATAATCTATCACTTACCAGTTCAGCAACAATTTGTTTTTCTAGCCGCTGACACTCATTCACTGGCTTCTTGAAGGTGTTCGAGTTAACCATTTTCTTTGGACAAAAATTAAAATTATTACCAACAATAAATGCAGTAAATGCAAATCCAACAAACATATACAGTCAATACTATATATAATACTATACTAGAAATACTCCTACTCCCACATCCTACTAATATTATAAATGCAAAAGTTTGTGTGGATATTTGGCACTCTTTCAGAGCACTAACAAAAGATGTATGGAGGCAGATGCCTTTCTGTCTTCTAAAGGTATGTGTGTGTGAACCTCGACCTTAAGGCGCAGCTTAAGAAATTGGTTCAATCTGGGACTCGTACTCAGGACTTTCAAATCAGCGACACATGCTAACCACTAGACCAGCGAGGCAATTTATCGTATACCTAGAATTTTATGAATGCAAATTTAGAGATGGGGATTCAAATCCCAAGTCGGACCAAGTAGCTTTTGAATTTTCTCTCAAAAAATTATCATTAGCATAAGGTAGTTGGCAAAACACCATAGTAGTCCTATGCCTCACCGTGAGGGAAAGTGGACCCTAAGGACTGAGAATGAACAGAATACAGTGTATGTACTTATATGTGAGACCCTTACACACTTGTGCACTATAATATCTAACACATAGATGACTAATCTTAGCGAGACCTAAAGCTTTAACCAAAATCAGTCTAGATCTTCTTTCTGGATAGGTATATGTAAGAAGCTAAAGTTAGTTTAGTATACACATAATAAAAAAAAATTGATTTGAGATAAAATAGCAGTCATAACATGTTGCTTATTCTTTAAGAATTTCTGAAACATATTTTACGATATCAGTCGTTTTCCTTCTCCCGACCTGTTTGCTTTAACACCACCTCTCAGACAGTATATGTTCAAATGTGCTACAACTTTACAATTAATTATAAATTGAAATAACTAATTTGAAACTAGATCTTAGCCGAAATTTATATCAAATCACAAATTAAATGTTAACCCACAGGCAAACCAAGAAAACGGTTTTGTGGGGGCTCTGTTTAAAAAAACTTACACAAACTTTACCTCTTTATAATATCAGTATAGATTAATTTGACTATCACCTCTGCAACTCGGTCACATCTCAAGAAGTTTTACTTCAAAAGAAGTTATATAATCTTGAGGTATACATAAATGAATAAATAAAACCTATGTACCTTATCAGATTTGCTGGAACTTTGTAAAACTTTGTTGATATCCTTGAACGAGTGTATGGACACCTCTAGAGTGGATGCATCCAATTTTTCTTCTTTTTTCTTTGTAGTTTTCTTTGGTTCTGGTTGCTGAAACAAGTAGCAGGAAGCATTTAATTTATTTTAACATTATAACATTACAAATGCAAAAATTTGGATGTTTGTTACTTAAAAAGGCGCAGAAATAGATCTAAGTCTGGAATAGCACATAAGTTACTTTTTACCCAGAAAAATGTATGATTCCCATGTAATAGATGTGTTTTTGTTTTTCCACAGTTGTTCTATATTCCATAGTAACCATTAAAAAAAACCTAGGCAAGTCGCTAGTCTTTAAATATGTATTTCAATAATTGATACAAACAATACAAATATAATTTGCAAATATAAAAAATAACATATTTCCTTAAAAGGATTTCACTTACAAAAGTATGGTGTGAGAGATCATCCTCCCAATTATTAATTTCGTCAGCAAGAGCCGCCAGTCTTTCAAACTTTTTACCACCAGGTTTTGGTTTCCGAGCCTCAGGGACAAGAGGTGGAGTTTCAGATGTGAACTCTTGTTCTGTGCGATGTATAGGCGATGATAGCTGTGGTTTATCTGTAATTAAGGAAATATAACCAGTATTTAACATGATAATGAATAGTAGTAAGATGAATGTTGTAGCAAGCATCTGGCTTGAGCAGGTCATAGATTTGATTTCATGGATTATTTAAAAGCATAGCAAAGATTATATTAAAAAACTTACTACACATAAATATAAATTATAAAACATATGATTTGTATACATTTATAAAGTAGTTTATTAGTAATAAAATGTGTCAAATCTTTGGTGTAAATGGCATTCACAACCCTTCTGGTAAATTAATTACATGTTATTTAAATAACTTAGTGTGTATTTTTGTTACTTATTCGCATTTTACTCAATAGATTTAAGTTAAAATTAGGAATATGTACTGGAATTAAAACATATTGAACTTTTTAAAACATAACTAATATATAAGCAAAGCCGTGGGCAAAATTTAGTTTCATCAGGCACCATTTACAACACAATTTTATCTACTTTGGTTGGTTATCTACAAGGGATGTACAACAAATTATGATTGTATGTTGTAAGCTTAAAACTTAAAATTATTATAGTAATTAATATTCTTATTGGACCAGATATAAAAGAAACAGGTTTTATATATCACCTCATTCTCAAAATAGCTGAGTAATTTTCTTTTCAAAGTTTTATTAAACATTATAATATAAAACTGGTTCAAGATCCCTTTAATTGATATTCATCACTATATGCACCATACTTAATATACATTAAAAAGTATCTTCATGCTTACCAGAATATAAGTTCCCAAGTCTGTCTAATCTTGATTTAAAGTTGTTTCGCAGTGCTGACTTCTCATTTTTATGATCATCCATGTCAATTGCTTTCCTTCCTAGCTTTGGGGTGTCATCTGGAAAAATAAAATAAAAATATTTATAAATATATTATTACTATTATATTATAACCAATAAATATATTAAAAATTACAAAACTTCTAGAGTAATTTTAAAGTAAAATGCACCTTAAATGAAACTTAATAAAATTAACTAAATATAAAGGCTAGAATTTACTACAATAAACAAACAAGAAAATCCAACACACAACTTTATACAAAAAGCAGCAGAACAAATGATCATACTTAAGACTTCATTACAGCTTGAGCTTTAAAGTGAACAAACACAATTTACATTAATTCTCTGAATATTATCTATCATGACTAATACACAAAATACACAGGAAAATGTTTGTTTAGCCATTTGTGCTATTGACCTTTACAAATCTAAATAAATAAATATCAACTTATGAGGTAGGAAAGCTATATTACCTACATATAGGAAAATTATATAAACTTAAGTCTTTAGTTTTATCTACTTTTTTATTCTTAAATTTAAATTTAAAATTTATAATTTCTTTTGTTTTAGGATTTTTCTTCAGAATTAATGTGACAGTTTTAGACAGACAGAATGATTAATTATAAACTTTGATATATTTTAAAAATGTTTATTAGCCAGATCCAAGAGCTCCTAACACATTAATTTAAAAGCTTTTGTTACAATCAAACTTTAATGAGTGTAATTATTTAAAGATACAATTTAAGATAACATTTTAATACTTTATACTTACCAATACACATTAAATATACTTCTACTAACCTTGAATTTCTTTGATAATGACATTGCTGCCACTCTCTGCTGAAGCATCATAAACAATACTGATAGGAGCATCTCTCTCTTCAACTTGAACTTCAATTTGAATGTCATTCCTATGGGAAATATTTATTTCCACAGACACATCAGAATTGCGTCTATTTAGACTGGTTTTTGGACTATTAAATTCCTTTTTAGTTACTATAATATCGTTACGCTGTTTTTGAGGAGACGCCCTCGAAATTTGATCTGATTTTTGAATAACTTTTTTAATAACAGGGGTATCACAAGTGGGTTCTATTGGTTTTTTAGGTGATGATATTGATTCTCTTGAATTTTTAATAGGTGATTTAATAGGTGATCCACTTTTAATTATGTTTTCGGTCAACGGTTTCCGCTTTGGCACGGCTTGTCCAGAATTGGCGAGCTTTTGATCTATTTTCTCTTGTCTTGCCCGAGCCCTTTCTAACATTCGCTGTAATATTGCATTTTATATTATTAAATTATGTTTTAGTTAAAAAGTAGAAGCGCAGAAGCCGTTAAAGTTAAACTTGTCCTAAACCTACCTGAGTGAAAGGATCCATTTTTATAAATTGAATTAAAGTGAAACCAAATACACAAACCACTAAAACACCATAACGGATCTAACTAAAATATAATTGATTGATAAATTCCAAAGTGATTACAATATTTCATCAAAACGATCAACACATTTAATTCACCCGTTGAAAGTTTGACATATCAACAAACCGAAATTTTTGAATTAACTTGTTACTCTATGGATAGAGGCGGACGCGCATAAAAAAACAGAAGCATAGACAATTTAGACATAGCATAAAGAATTTTGTAACTTTGATACTTTTTTTTAAATACTGTATGGAACGTGTAAAAATTCAATGAAATCGAAAAGAATAAGAATGTCTTATATACACCAAACACCTGTAACACCAAAAAACACATAACTACACTGACTCACAATACCTTTTTTTTGTACACACAATGTCTCTACTCTCTTGTAGTGTGTAACGTATATATACTATATACCGAATTGTATAAACGTAAACATACAATATATTATAAATTTTCGTCAATAACGATAATAATATTATTTCTCTCTATAATTAAATTGCTCTTTATTGTATACAGGCGCAAAGCTATAATAATAATTAATTAATTCGTCCCTTTTCGGAGTGAGGTTTTTACTCATATCTCGGAAACTCTATAATATTGTTAGGGTTATTATTTTTTGTGTAGAAGTCTATACAAATAGACTAACCTAACTACATTAAAATTTCTCCCATTTTTGTTACATAAATACTCGTACATTTTCATTGTAAGATTAATCTTTAAAAGTATTTAAATAACAGGTTATTTTATGAAAATATGTTTTAGAAGTAAAATATACTAAACAGGTATGCCATAATTATCTATCCATTTAATAAAATTGTAACCAAGCCGAATCTGTACACTAAATATTTTTTTAAAAATCTTATTGAAATAAACATTTTTATCGATACAGAGGCCGAATCTATAGTTTTTAGAATTCTTGTCTGTCTGTCTGTCTGTCTGTTACCGCGTCACAAAAAAACTACTGGAGGAATTTTGAAGAAATTTGGTATGGGGTCAACATATAGAATACTTTTTACCGCGGAAAATCGTCTCATTTCTGAGAAAAATTACAAAAACTGCAATGTAAGAGTTATATAGAGATACTAATATGTAAAACCTAAGAATTTGGATTTTGGAATTCTAACTGAGCCGAATCTATACATTAAATATTTTTTGGAAAATCTTATGGGAATAGACATTATTATCGAAACAGAGGCCTAATCTATAGATTTTAGAATTTTTGTCTGTCTGCCTATCTGTTTGTCTGTTACCGAATCACGTAAAACTCACTGGAGGGATTTTAATGAAATTTGGTATGATGATAGCTGGTTATCCGGGTCAACTTATAGGATACTTTTTACTGCGGGAAAATATCTCATCTCTGAGAAATCAATACTAAACGTTAAAACGTAAGTAGGGACGAACCCGAGTGAAGCGAGGGTGAGTCGCTAGTAGATAAATAAAATTGAAATGTCTGTTTGTAATGTGAAAATAACAGTTTTTTACTAAATGCATATGAAATTATACACGGTACCAAAAAAAAAATGTCCGTCTGTCCCTCTGTCTGTCTGTCTATTTGTTTGTTCTGGCTAATCTCCGAAACGCCTGAACCAATTTTGACGGGACGTTCACTGGCAGATACCTGATGTTATAAGTTATTACTTTTATTATAGAAGAAGAAACGGTTCTGCATAAAAAAATTAAAACCAATGTAATTCTGAACAAAACCGCGCACCTAGGGAAGCGCCCGAGCGAACTTACCAAAGACTAGCGACTACTTAAATAATAATTAATGAATTAAATCTTAGTTTTTGATATAATAATGATCGTCATTATATATCGAAAACGAAAAATACAATAGAGTCCTAGAGTGGCAATAGTGCGATAAGCTCATATGCAGCCGTTACAGGGAAGACTCTGGTTAATGCCAGTTTTTCGACAACCCTATATTCCAGGACAATCACTCTTACTCGTGCAAGAAAATATATTCATCAAGATGTCAGGAGCGGAGGGTACGGCCTGGCCTGATTTGATTTTCTTTGCATTCCAAGAGATAGTCGATTTCCAAGCCTTCGTATTCCTCTGAAACTATTATATTTCCCTGACCGTTGGTAGGGACGATAGAAGAAAGATTACTTATTTGAGACAGATAGGCATCGTTAACTTTGGTTTGTAACGGTAGAATAAATTCTAAATTACAACATATGCTCTCCAAAATAATATTTCTCTAAATTGAAGTATCAGTATTGGTCGAATCTATGCCATGAATATTTTTATAAATCCTATTAATGTTCCAGAAATATAGACTAATATTTGTTAAACAGGTACTTTACTTGTGCAGGTATACTAAATGGAGAGCGTCAACTTGTAACCAGTATTGCGAGGGCGGTCAAGTAGAGCGGTACGCATTTACAGTCACTACACATATTGGCGGAAAACAAACAATGGGTATGTATATTTACTTGATTCTCAATAAGTCATCATTCTAGTAAGAATCAGTAGGTATTTTTTGTAGAAGCTTCTAGCGATTGGTATTCCGATGAATTATATTAAATATTGTTTTATATTTCGTTTAACATATGTTTGTTCTTGATTAAGCTATTGTTTACATAACATATTAGCAAAATTGAATTCCCTGTCTCTATCTCCTGCTAACATATTAAAACGTACTTTACTATCGGGTTAGTAAAAAATCTGATCAAAATTATTTTAGAACTGCCCCATTTTTATATATTAGCAACACTAATTTTGATAAAACTTTTTTGTATAACTAAGCTTCGAAGTCGTAACCCAAAAAAAAACTCTTTTTCAGAAAGAGTTATTCAACATGGTGGTAGAGTCTAACTTTTATAAGTAATGCGCTAAATATACTTTTTGTTAATTTCCAAGTTGTGATATTTAAAAAAAGAATGAAATTGCCAAACTTTTTAAATATCTACAGTCTATAGGCGTCAAATGCATTTGAAAAGACAACTTTACTATCGTTCGATTTAAGTATCCTCTCAACTCTCAAGTCAGTAGTTTGTTGAACCGGATAATCCAATCAATTTTTATTTCATCTCAATTCATGTCAAGGATATGTTCTCTCTTACAATGCCAGCATTCAAATAAAATATTCGCATGTTATAATCTTTGAATACCTACAGCGTATATTCATTTTGCCTGTGACTTACATTTTTTAATTAAGTATGAGTAGATATACGAAATTTACCTGTTCTGAGTAGTTTAGTTGAATTAGGTATTTATAAGAAAAACACAATTTGTAAATTTTTTGTCTCTGTCTGTCTGTTGATTCCGGGTAATCTCCGAAACGGCAGGACCGATTTTGACAGATTTTCACTGGCAGATAGGTGATGTTATAAGAAGTAACTTAGGCTACTTTTATTTAATAGTATTTATATTAGAAAAAGAAATAGGGATCCGCTCAAAAAAAATTTACATAGGGACGCATCCGAGTGAAGCGAGGGTAAGTCGCTCGTAACAAATAAAAATAAAGAAAATAGAAAGTAGCAAATAATACTGTTACAAATTAATTATTTACTAAATCGCACATTTTCAATTTTCACATAAGTACATTTTCTAAACAAAAATAGTTCATGGGTTTCTCTTATATTATTATTTACATACATACGGCTCTGATTTTTCCTAATCAAGTGTAGGCAGATATCATTTAGTACAAGCAAAAATTAGAGCAAAGCAAGGGTAAGTCGCTAGTCTATACTTATATTATAAAGAGTTAAAGTTTGTGAGTTTGTGACGTTGTAGGGGGTAAAAATGAAATCATCCCTTAAGGGGGTAAAATGGGGATAAAAAATTGTATGGGGAAATAAGCTAGGGACGAACCCGAGCGAAGCGAGGGTAGGTCGCTAGTGTGTAATAAAAAGCAACATCTTAATATCCTTAAAAGCCTACCAAGAACATTTAAGCAGGTTTATTTCTCGTACTTTTTTTTTAAAAGAAATTTTACATAAACATATATTTCTCTTTCTTTGTCTACTAATGTTAGCAATGATAACCACATAACCACAATTCCCATGCCATTTTATTCTCTTAGTCAGTATAAAGGAAAAGGAATAAACAGTTTATACGTTGCGTCACATCATTATAATAAATTGAGCTCCATGAAGTATGACGAATCTACCTAGTAGTTTTAGGTATTATTCATGCGAGAACATCGAACAGGATTGATTTACCTATGATTTTAAGTAAAAATAATACGTATTAGAAAAGCAATCAAAGGTAATAAATGTGCTTACTTATAGTTGAGATTTTTTCAATAATTGGGACTTTCAAAAAATTTTTATCTAAAAAGGCACAAAGTCATTTTGAATGTAGGTAATTACTCCAACCATTTCTTATACCTATGATTTTTTTCCTCAAATCATAACGGACCTACATATCATCTTAATTTCATTAAAACATATTAGATTATTAAAATATGGTGAAAACTGTAAAAAACGTACACTTTTAATTTCAATAAAAAATAAGGTAATGCTGTTTAGGTCACCTATTTATCTCTTATAATCTCTATGTGGTGTTGCCTCTCTTTTCCTTACAGAAAGATAGAGTTTACTAGAAACATTCTTCTCAATTCTCCGCCAATCGAAATCAGAGTTAAAATAAGTAATGTCCCTATGACTACTAAACTTATTTTTTTCCAAGAATATATTTTCCAATAAGTATACCTATATTATGTATATATTTTTATTACTGTATTAAAATATAATAACACCTAGGTATGTAGCGCTAATAACTGAGCGCTGTAATACAGACTAAAGTCTAGTCGAGAAACTTGTTTGTAATTATTACATACATGTCTTCATTATAAACCCAATGACCTTAGTCTAAGAAGCAAAATCATCGATTTAAATTAAAAATCTTGTAGAAAGTGAGATAACTGAGACTTGCAAGGAAAAACATTGTAGCACGTATATTGATATAATTTAATAATAGAATTTTAATTTCTCATATTACTCGTACATTAAATTTAAAATGATAAACAATAAAAACTTTTTAACAAAAAAATAAAAACAGACTTCAAACAAAAGCACTAAAAAGTAAAAAATAACTGATTGGTAGTTTTCATTTACTATACATACCTAATCAAATATTTTCGAAGTCGGTGTGCTTTGGCTAAGCAATTAAAGCCTACCTATTAAATACATACCTAATCAAATATTTTAGAAATCGGTGCCAGCCCATACAAAGCAATGGCGAAGCGAGGAAAAATCTAGTTTATCATATACATACATACATAAATACATACATACATACATATCTACATACTAAAACGAAGTTTATAATATATTTTTTCCATGTCTTTGTTATTTAGTTATTTTTTAATCTTTTGCTTTATTCTTCTTACTTTGTAAACTCATAGATCACATACCTACATATAAACTCTATGTACATTCTCACCTGGATATTAATAATATGATTTGTGATCTTATTAAGAATTGTTATCTGATGATGATGTTCTCCTGACCGATTTCGGCCACGGCGGCCAATCTCATTGAGACTAGCCAACTGCGCAGGAGATATTATAGTGCATAAGTGTACGCGCAGACACAAGTGCACTCTCTATTCCTGTCACTCTCATACTCTGGTGGGACAACTGGTCGACACGACCAGTAAGAGTTAAGGCGCAGGAGCGACAGCTTTACGTGCTCTCCGAGGCACGAGGGTGGAACACCGCCAACTTCCCAACTCCGGGCTGTTACTGAGGCTTACTGTACAGAAAGACTAAATAACTAAACTTGGCCCGACCCGGGACTCGAACCCCGGACCTCCGGTTGTGCAGCCGTACATGCTAGCTACTACACCACCGAGGTAGTTATCTAGTATTAAGCTAAAAGGAAAACTAGTAAAACCTATACTTTTATCATACATAAAATGTTTGAAGTCATATATGTATTTAAAAGATTAAAGAAATAATAACAATTACAAAAATAAAAATCATAAAAGTCGGCTGCGTTAAAAACGAACTAAAATTATGTTAACAAAATACTCGATAGGTTTGAAAGAAAAAAAATGTTAAAGACGCTTAAATTGAACACTAATATCTTTAGATTTTTTTTTAATGATTTTAATGTGTATGATGGCGAGTGTCAGACACTCGCGTTCAGCATTATCAAGACGAGTCTAACGACGTATAGGTAGGTAGGTGCCTAATTCATTGAAAAATGATAACTTGTTTAGAAACTATGTGGAATTGCACATACGTACATACATGTCAAATACATAACTTTGGTTTTTTGCTTCGCGGCAGTCGGGTAAAATACGAGCTAAAGATTAAATAATACCTACCTATAAACATAAACTCAACAAGTCTTTACACCTTTACAACAAATTCTTACTCAATTGCGAATTTATTTACATTACATACTTTCATACAAAGAATATAGGAGAAGGCTGGCATACGAGATATTTTACGTAAAACGTACCTATATTACGCCCCTTATGGATATGCTACCATTTCATGATTCTAATCAATTCGCTGTTTAAATATTTTCTTGATATTTCATTGTGTCATTTTATTAATCAAAGAAACCACGTCATTTCTGATAATGCATATGTAACGAAATGAGGTAGGTTAGGTTATCTCAAATAGTAGAGCGAATTCAACGAACTAGTTTAGTGGTTTAATGACAATAGACATTATTCTTCAATATAAGGTATACTTACATATAGATAATGTATGACCTATATATGTATAATCTCAAGAAAACTTAATGAAATATGTATGTACGTTGACTTTTGTAGGTTACGAGTGGCTATAGTTTGTACAAATACGTTTTATTTAGAAAAAGGGAATAAAGCACTTGTTAATATTTAATTACAATTCTGTCTCTAAACTTACCATTACTGGAAAGAAAAAGTGTGATAATTACTTTTAAAACAGAATTAACCTCTCAAAATCGATATTTCATCTCTTCTGAAACTCTAAATTATCTATACATATAATAAAATTCTAACTAAGCCGAATTTGTACATTAAATATTTTTTTGTAAATCTTATTAAAATAGATATTATTATCGATACAGAGGCTGAATCAATAGTTTTTAGAATTTTTGTCTGTCTATCGGTCTGTCTGTCTGTTACCGCATCACGGAAAAACCACTGGAGGGATTTTGATGAAACTTGGTATGATGATAGCTGGTTATCCAGGTGAACATATAGGATACCTACTTTTTACCGCGGGAAAATATCGTATTTGGTATTTGGTCATCTGAACGCGGGCGAAGCCGCGGGCAATGCTAGTTGTATAATAAAAATAGGGTTTTCCATCTAACCGTTTGGAATAAATCAAAGATGATAGACGAATAAATTGACAAGAGAGTGATATTATAAGGACTCGGTCATACGAAGTTTTTTCTATGCAATCACAGAATCCCTCCTTATATATATCCATACTAATATTATAAATGTGAAAGTACCTACTAATATTATAAATGTGAAAGTGTGTTTGTTTGTCCTTCTTTCACGTCGAAATGGAGTGACGGATTGCCGTGATATTTTGTGTAGAGATAGTTGGAGGGCTGGAGAGTGATACAGGCTACTTTTTACCGCGGGAGTTAACCTAATTCCCACGGGAAAACACTTTATAATACAATCAAAAAAAAATTGATTAGAATTATTAGAAACTAGGTATTAATACTCTTCAGTAAAATTTGATAAATGTATATTTTAGCATTTTTCGAAATTCATCATATAAGGGGGTAAAATAGTGAAAGTTTGTATAAAACGACTTTTATAGAGATTTTTTCGTAGTTTTAGCGCGAGCGAAGCCGCGGGTACTGCTAGTCTATTATAAATATAACCTTGAATACTTAACCTATGGCGGCAATAAATATTAATCTTGCAGAATGACTCGAATGACAAAGGTTAATTTGATAAACTTTAAACATTAATATTATTAATTACTTTAACTATTAATAAGTTTTTGTCAGGGTATTTCCCTAAATTAATTCCTCTGCTTTAAAATAAAAGGCAGCTTTGATTGTTAAATGAAAATTAAACTTTATTCAATTAAACTTATACAAAAAAAGTTAGTAAAAAAAGAAGATAATGCATTAGTTTATTTAAATAAATAAAGTGATACGTATATAGAGACTTCACATAACATCTCCTTTACGAAAATACAAAAATTAGCCTAAAAGACACATAATATAACACGATTTATAATTATAAAATAAAAATTTAAAAAACCCCCTACGCAAATCAATTTTCATTTATCGATTACACTGGCACGCGTGAAACACTTAATCGAGTAATCATACGCCAAAATGCCTTACATCATTTTGGAAAAGAGCTGATACTCTTACACTGCTGGACTGCTATTAACCAAACACAGCTAAGAACCACCGCAAGGAAACTGGCTTTCAAATGAAAAAACCGCATCGAAATCGGTCCATCCGTTTGAGAGCTACGATGCCACAGGAGACACACACACACACAGACAGACAGACATCGTTGTACAACTATTTTCGTGTTACCACGTCTTAATAAGTATACTATGTACCTATAAGTATGCATTCAATTTTCATATCTTTACACTTTTTTATTACGTAGATTTTAATACTATTTGCATCCCTTCACGATCGCGGACACGCACACGTTACAGTTAACAATAGATTTCTTAGAAATTTAGTTAATTTCTTAGAAATATCGAATCGAATATATAATTTATGTATACTTATAATTTATTATGAAGGCAGTGGTAGTATAATGGTAACGCACTCCCTTGGGAAACCGAGAGAAAAGGGTTCAAATCCCGGGTCTCGCATCTCCTATATCTTCATGTGTGAATCATTTCCAACATGATTACCGAACGAATCCTATGGGAAAGAAAGAACGAATCTTAAGGTTACGGTAAAGGAAAACATTGTGAGGGACCAGGCATAACTGAGAGAACCTAGCAAGTTTTCGAAAGACATGTGCAGTCCGTCAACCCCACTTGGCCAACGTGGACTATGGCCTGATCCACCTGATAATTTATTATATATTATTCCATTTAATTTCAGGCTCCATTACAGTTGTGCTCTCTCTCTTCGCCGTGATCTTCATCATTGGCAGTACTGAAGCTGGTAATTAACTTTTACCTTAACTTTTTTTATTCTTGTAGGTACTATTAAAATATTTCAATACTTTCGCAATACTTTTAAGGATTCAACTTTAAACATTTTTTTAGCACTTTATGGCACTCGAAATCTAAATGTTACTTATTAAAACCCAATTTTCTTAATTTTTAATGTTTTTTCAAATGATTAAATTAAATTAAAATAAAAAAATGTATTAAAATATTGTAGAGCATAAAATTCTTTTAAATATGATCCTTCTTGTTTGAAGTCGATTAATAAAATAGACATTTTCGAATTTCAGGTACGGGTAGCTGCCCTATACCATCAAAAATCTACGGTTGCAGTCCAAAATGCGTGCAAAATTATGAATGCAGTAACGGCAAGATGTGCTGCCCTAACTCCTGCAACGCGAAGTCCTGTGTAGACCTGGCAGCTTTCGGTGGCTCCAATAACGGAAAAGATAAGAATTCGCAGTGTAAGTTTTATATACATATATATATTTCTAACAAAATCTAATAGTGTGACTTTTTCAGAAATCAAATTAAAAATGGGATCAAGTTGTACGTCAAATATTTTACAAAATTTCATTTAACTTGCAATGTTTGTATGTATGTCTGTTCGGGTCAAATCTTGCAACTGAATTCTAAAGCAGTTATCCTCAATCGATTGAGCTGAAATTTTGCTTACACGCTTAGTTTGAATGACAATGCATGGTTAGTTAAGTGACTTCATTCTAAATCCAATGTGGCGGACTCCCAACGATGGCGGACTATGATTTTTTATGCACCCCCATGATATGGTTAACAAATGAAAGGGTTTGCTGAGAAGAATACGACTAAATACCTAAAAAATAAACTTTAAATTAAATCAAACCCATTTATTACATTACACAATTTATATGTAAAAAAGCTTGTTTTTAAAAAAGTTTTTTTAATATATTTTATTATTATACATATTATTTATTTGTGTCGTGTAGTGTGATTTGCCTGTGTAGATTAACAAGAGTATAATATTTAAAATAGGTAAATCTCATGACAAGCTTATAGACTACAATGTACATAAATTGGTATAGAAAAGTAGGTACCTAAGTAATTTAAAAAAACTTGAAGTCATCCTCTATTTTACCTTGATTGGTCAAAACCGGCGAAACATTTTTTATATTTTATAATATTACTAATTATATGATAGGTATAACCAATTTTTATGTCCTTATTTTGAGAAATGATTTGTTCTCAATACTTTCAAGTTTCATTTTGCGACAAAAAATAACCTGTGTCCTTTTCCAATGTCCGATTCATATAATTTATCAAAATTAGCTCAGCAGTTTAAGTGTGAAAACGTAACAAACAGACAGACAGAGTTACTTTCACATTTATAATATTAGATGGATATTCTGATTATAAGCATGTCTGACTTAATTAAACTAGTTTTTAAAGATGTGTAATTTAAACATTAAAGACCATGACCTACTCCCCCATGCTTCATGGGGTCCTGTATCTAGTGGGATGTATTATCATCCTAATATGTTTATTATTACAGCGGGTGCCGGCATCTACTGCAACAATCACAAGTGTAGTCCTTTCGAAGTGTGCAAGCTCGACCCCATCACCAAGAAGAATAAATGCATGCGCTCCTAAGTTATTTAGACGAGTATGTCTTGACATGTTTTATATGTAGGGATATTAATTATTAATATATTATATATAATTTTATAAGTATTTTAAATTTATACTTTCTTAGATTTACGCCCATATTGGACATTTTAAATAAAACTATGTTTTTGGATTTTCATTCAGTTCTTGTTTTGGACCAAAAATAAAAATAAATTTTCGAAAACATCCGAAATATAGTTTTATTTTAAATATTTAAAACTATATATTTTTATGATAAAACTAATTTATATCAACTTTATAATGGGATTGATAATTTAGAAGAATTACCTTGATTGAGATTAAACCATACATAGACTTAATAACCGATTTGAAAAAAAAAACAGATGAATATTATCAAAAACATAATATAATATCTCACTTCTTTAATGAAGTTTTAAATAATATAAAAATGTATACTTGCACCCAGTTTTCTATAATGTCACACCAACACTATTACCTACATTATTTTGTAATCACAAAAAATCTCTGTCGAGTTAGCTTATTCCAGAAACTTCTATTTACTAAAAATGTAAGTATATTACAATTTATAAGCAATTTTTTTATACTTTTTATATAAATAAAAAGTTTTATTATACAATGTGTTTTTGACTATACTTGCATCCTACTTATCTATACTAATATTATAAATTTGAAAGTTTGAGATTTTTGAGAGTTGGATGGACATGAATGTTTGTTACTCAATCACGTGAGAACGGCTAACCGATCTGGATGAAATTTGGCACAGAGATAGATTATAGCCTAGGTTGAAAAATTTACGATTGTAATCAAGCGCAAGCCTATACATACAATAAAAAACGTTTTTTTGTTTCCTAATTTTCTGGATGAAAGAAGGAAGGTCTGTTTAAAAATATGTAGATGCATCATATGCGTAAACATAATTTCATACGATCATATTAAAAGGTCTAAGCCGTTAATTAAATCTATACAGATAAACAATAGTGTCTGTTTGTAATTTCAAAATAAAAGCTTTTTACTAAATGCATATGAAATTATATACGGTAATTCTATAAAAAAACATATTTTTTTTATTTTTGTGTGTCAGTCTGTGTGTTCCGGCTTATCTCCGAAACGGCTGGACTGATTTTGATGGAATTTTTACTGGCTAAATAGTTGATGTTATGAGGAGTAACTTAGGCTACTTTTATTTAATAGTACTTATATGAGAAAAATAAATAGGGTTCCGCTCAAAAAAACTCACATAGGGACGCATTTGAGCCAAGCGAGGGTAAGTCGTTCGTACCAAATAAAGAAAATAGAAATAAGCAAATAATACTGTTACAAATTAATTATTTACTAAATCGCACATTTTCCATTTTCACATACCTAAGTACTTTTTCTGAACAAAAATAGTTCATGGGTTTCTCTTATATTATTATTTACATACATATTAATATCTGATTTTTCTTAACCAAGTATAGGCAGATATCAGTTAGTACAAGAAGCAAAAAAATCTATTACGCTGGAAGGGTAAACACCCTTTGTATAGTCGATATTTATTAGTTACGGACTCGCGCTCGACGCGATCGCAAGGACTGCTCCCGTATCGTAACGAAATAAGAAAGCATTTAAAAGAAAACGTATTTTATGAGAAAAACCTAAGTAAATATATAGTTTAAGTTATAAAAAAAGCTTGATTCAGTGCTATTTTTTTCGAGTAGAAGATTTTATTTAATTATTAAAAACATTAAAAAAACTCAAAACTGGTAGGTGAAATATTGAGAAATAATTAAGTTTTAACCTTATAAAGTAGTATAAATCTAGACTAAATCGAAATAAATAAAAGTTTTTATATAAAACCTATTCAATTATGCCTTAGTCATATTATATTGATAAATTATTATCAGTACCCTTTCAAAAATTGTTCATCTTTGACGACGAATTTTCTATAATTTTATTATTAAAAATAAAATTAACATGAACTAAAACGTTTTAAATAAAGGAACAAATAAGTAGAAGAAAGTTCATTACTTAGTTCAACGCCTAAGATATCATAATTTCCTTTAATGTTTATATAACAAGTATATTTTTATATAGTAAATATAAGTGTAATTTACAATAACAAGACAACTTATTTATAAATAACAATATTTTTATTTGTTTTTGTGAAGATAAATTAATATATAAATATTAATCTTTTTATAAATACTCTTTTAAAATAGAAGATCAAGTCGCCTGTAACAGACACACAAACACTGAAGGTAATAATTTTGGAGTAAGATGATATTGAAACAAGTGTGAACTTAATTCAAATTCAAATTCAAAAAATTTTATTCAGCATTAAATTATTACAATTTTTTACTGAACGTCATGAGTCTACTACCTGTTCGGAAAGAAGCCTCAGACCTGAGAAGAACTGGCGAAAGTAACTCAGCGGGACTAATATTATTTCATTATATTTTTTTATAAAGTTAAATAAAGTTAATAAAATTGCAACTTGAAAGTTACATTCAAATATTTAACTAACAGACAGGTATAAAATTAAATTGTATCTTGTTGTTTAAATTGTAATTGTAGTACCCACCAGCCACTTGTTTTTAAAATCTATTTGAAGTCTTTGTTCAGACTAACAAGTCAGTACTTACGTATAGGTTTACAACAAACCATATCTGTTTATCTCTATTAATTTTTAAGTTACTAGCAGTACCCGCGGCTTCGCCCGCGTTCATACTACTAAAAAACAAACTCTCTGGCTTTATGTTATAACTAATAATAATTTGATGGCTCTAATGATATTATTTAAATGTGTGAGTATGTTTTTAATTCGCGCATGGAGGGATCCGTACCGCCGAAAATTGTCCGGCCGTTTTACCAGCATAAATACTAAGTTTCAAGTAATTCTGGTCATAAATATTTTTTTGGGTTGTATTATAATGCGTTTTCCCGTGGGAATCAGATAAACTCCCGCGATAAAAAGTAGCCTATGTCACTCTCCAGCTCTTTAACTATGTCCACACCAAAAATCACGCCAATCCGTCACTCCGTTTCGACGTGTAAGAAAGACAAACAAACAAACACACTTTCACATTTATAATATTAGTATGGATACCAAATCGATATCGACTTTATTATTCTGAGTAACTGCAACGACCTAGTATTAATTAAGTTAGGTACACATACTCTAAGTCATATTTTAATCTAAAAGCTCTACAAAAGCTCTTATAATTAAAATCATATTTTATTATACATATATCATGTAAGCTTTCGAGAGCTTTTCATACTTGCTGTGGACTCGATTGTCTATTGAGAGGACATTGATATTATATTAATTAAGTCGAATTTCATTTGCAAACCAAAATATGTCTAAGGACATAAGTAATAAAATTAAATCTATATAAATAAAACTGAATTTTCGATGTTCATGTCCTCTATGCGTTTAAAAACCATTGATCCGATTGTGATGAAACTCTGGTATGTTAATCTGTATACGCCTTCAAAAGTTCATAGTCCAAAAAAAAAGTTTTTTGGACGTTTGTTTTTTATCCGTATCATCGTCACTCGTATTATATTAAAATAAACTTAATTAATATAATAGGTTATGTTAAATATTTACTTGATATACTTGTGTAGAACTCTATAAGTTCAGCATTGAACATGTCATATGAAACGCACCCTTTGTTATTAAACAGTCAGAATTGTGCCGCCCTAGTTTTGTTCACTCCTACTCGTATATAACATGAATATGACAATGTGCTATAGACGTATTTACTCACCAATAAATTCAATATTTACTTTTATTTTCCATTTAACCAACTTTAAAGTAGGAAGAAATATTCAATTTGGGTGCATTTGTTTTATGTGATCAGTCTAATCTGCTATTAGAAAAGTACCAGGAGCAACCCGCTAATTAAACCGCCCATCGAGATGGGCCACCTCTCACTCGTTTCTAGACCCCACCAAAAATTGTGAAACATTCAGGAGTTATGCATTATCATTTTTATTTATATTTTAACAAAGTTTAATATAAATAGTAAATTACAGGCATTAAGTGCGATATAAATTTGTTAAATAAGATTAAAATTCTGATATAATGTCAAGAAAATGAACGGCATTACGCCAGAAGAAACAAATGCACGTGAAAGCACATGCCCTTTGTGGGAGAGGCTCGGTTGCGTGCGCGCAGCACGTTTCTGCAGACGACGGCTAAGGCGTGTCGCACCTGAAAGTAAAACTCGGTAAGTTAGTTTGACATTTTACATTTTTTTTCTCAATATTTTAAGTATATATTTACATGTAAAAGCGCAACAGAAGCTTTTAAAGTTTTAATTATTGTATTGATCCAAAATAGAATTGAGAATAAATGTAATGTTCGCATATCTTCGTTATCGATTCTATCGAATTTAATCTAACACAATATATTTTATATCCTATTTAATTTTTTTGTTTTAAATATTTATAAAAAAGCTTTCTTAAAAATATCTTGAAAACCACGTAATATTGTTTAAGTATACTGCAACAAGCAACATACATGCATTATTTATTAATATTTTATAATATTTCTTCTATAAATATCATAAAATTGTAACTGATCGCTGTCTGTACATGGAAGATATTGAATAAAACTATTATTAAGGGTCGTTATTAGCGAAATAGAACCCAAAACTATGATTTTTAGAATGTTTGTCTGTTTGTTTGTGCGCGCTTATCTCAGCAATGGCTTAACAGATTTGGGTGCGGTTTTCACTAACGTACCTATTGTAGTAAGCTTCACTTAACATTTAGTTGTTTTATTTCAATCAAATAAATATATATAAAGAATCAAAGCGGGTGACGCGCTACTTTTAAATAAGTTTCAATTATTTAATTTTCATTTTTACACCTAGTTTTACGTATATTGAATTATTAAATAAAACAGTAGGTATATTGATTGCAATAGAAATTGAGAAATGTTTCACATAAAACTAATTATCATCATAAATCTAAAATGTCCTCGAGGCCTTTAAGCACCCTAATAATAGAATTTATAACCGAAATCAAGATAAAAGAACCTCGGAATATGCGCGGTAAAGTTTTATAACAGCTAATTTTAGCCTTCGGCTCACATTTTCAGCAAAATTCCATTTAACAGATTATGCTATAACGATGAAAAACTATAAGTTATTTTTTTGGAAGCTACTAAATACTTTTATGTCCTTGTTTTTACGATTTTAAGTACTAAATTTATTTAATTATATTCATATTAGGGCACAGATATCTATACTAATATTATAAATGTGAAAGTTTGTGAGTATGGATGTTGGGTTAGTTTCACGCCAGAACAGCTGAACGGATCTGGATGAAATTTGGCATAGAGATAGATTGTAGTCTGGAATAATACATAGGCTACTTTTTATCCGGGAAAAATGTACAGTTACCGTGGGATGGGTTTGTTTTTGTATTCCATATAGTATGTACATATATAGGTATATAAGGGGATTTGAAAGTCCACGAAATACATCGATGATTTCTCGTACTAGTTATTTGTTTAAAATATAGAGTATTTTTACGTTTTTAGTAAACAACCTCCAAATTAATGATATAAAGTAAATATAACAAAAAAATAACCATCGATTCTTCTCTAAATTAAACACTAAACACTTAAAAAAAACACTGTTCCTCTTCAAAGTATCTCCATAGCCAATAAAATTTTTTTTCATATTAATTACATTATGACGATTATTTGAATCAACCCTAAAAGGCTAAAAGCATTTCATAATTTTCACTGTACATTTGTCATTAATTGTTTTAATTACTCAGTAAAGAAAATATATGTACGTCATGCATTCATTATTGCATATTTTATAGCCATATAAATATAATATTATGTTTGTAGCTCTTATCTGTTACACAATATGGTATATGTTTAATACAAAGCTTGGAAACAAACAGGCTCTCCCATCATGTAAGTCAGGAGTTTCCAAGAGGGCGGGTGTAGAGAGAGTTTATTTTGTATAACTTAAAATTAATATAAATAAATATCGTTAAAAATGATGTGTTTTATTATAATAAAAAAATAAAGGGGGCATTATTTTTTTTTATATTCCGCGGAGGCTCAACAGAAGAAAGGTTGGGAAACCTTCGTCGTAGTTGAATGCGTAAGCGATCCTGCGACGCCCCATTAAGACGGGAGAAGGCTTTGTTGGGTTTTAGTGGGTAGTATTGGCTTTACCGGTGAGTCCCACACCTCGTGCGTAAATGCATTTCCCAACGTTAAAAAAATGTGATCCTACGACGCTCTATGAGAACAGGGTTATGCGAAAATGTTTCCAAATAATAAAAGAGAACGGAAATCGAACCTACTTTCCGAGAATACTCTAACTACTAAACATGAACACTACTTTATTCGGACTGGATAGGACCAATAAATAGTTCAAGCGATATTTACCGATGTCAGCCGCCACACGGTCTGCTTACTTTTGCTTGAAATAAAACCTAATTATGTTTTATGTAAGAATAGATAAAAATTCTGCCTTTTAAAGAAAAAATATATTAAGATTGACTCCTTATTACCGTCAATTCTGTTGCTTTATAAATCACTACAATAATTCATAGGCAAAGCGTTCAAAAACTGCAAATAAATCTAATATGTAGATTCTTTTGTATATCCATCCCTGTATTATATTTTTAGCTACAGTGCGTCAAACAAAACAAAGGTTTTATGTCTGCGTGACATTTACCTACATCGCTACAAGTGTATAAATAATGTGGTCACCCGTCACGCTACGGCGTACTTGCGTACCTCTATTTTTTAAATACATACGTTTAAAAAATAGCGTTAGTTATATAGCTTTAATGATTTTTAACTTGAACCTTAACCTGCTTTTTATCTATGTATTTAATTTCAATTTAACATACAATAGTACTTATTCCCAAACAAACATAAAATATGCGGTATTATTTTTTTACTAACATCCGCCTAAAAAGTGTTTCAACCGCATGTTCTATGCTTTAGTTTAGTTTTTGTTCACAAAATAAAATAATAAGATATAAGTAAAAATAATAATATTTTAATGATTTAATGCTTACATTTCATGCTTAACATAAATTATAACGTTAACGATTTTATTTTTGACGCTCAAAATCAACAAAGGGTACACCGTAATAACTTGTCAACATATGACCATTACTAAATTATTGCCCTTCGCAGTAAGTAGCGATGGTAAAAAAGGATAATTAAAAAACACTACACACAAATCTTATTTCATTGTACGTTATATTTATTTTTATATATGACAGTAGCACTCACCATCGCTTCGCTCGGGCTCGTCCCTAGGTTGATTCCTCATACAAAATTTCATCCCCATTTTCATCCCCTTAAGGGATGATTTCCAGAACAAAAAGTATCCTATGTCCTTCTTAGAGTCTCAAACTATCTTCTTACCAAATTTCATCTAAATTGCCATGGTAACTGTTGTTATTGTCTGACAAATGATTTATGTAATATTATATTCTTTCCTTAAATAATATTCTATACATATTATTATGATTGTAATATGTCTACTATGCGTTATTTAATTATTTTTATTAAAATTTATTGTTCCTTTTACAAACAGAGGTCGTGACATACGGGATGAAATATTTAGCTATTTTTGTTCTGTTACGCCAAACAAGTATAACGTGCATACATAAGTACTCACATACGTTTTTTTCTCCTCAGCTTGTCAACCGATTTTTTTTTTGTTTAGTAACTATTGACAAGTTTCAGTGTTATCGATAAAAAAAATTAAAACAGATTTTATATAAATAAGTAAATAATAAATTATAGTCGAAATTATATGAAAAATTATTAAACTTAAAAAAAAAAATATAGATCATGTTCCGCTGACGCTACTTTGACCATAGGCTCTCATTTATTCACCGCCCATTATAATGACAGTGTAAAAAAGGTTCTTCTTCACCGCGGACATTTGTACATACATGCTATATTTTTTTTATAAATAGGTACTTTAAGTGTCGTAGAATGCCTTAAATATACTTCCTTATATAAAACATGCCTGAAAAATTCTCTGTGCACGAATTTGCTATTAAGCCCCATTAATATTTAAATATCATCTAATTTATATAATCTTCAAAGTCATTAAATTTAATCAGATAAAATATTCTATGCTTTTTTAACTATGTTTTTGCGTAATGTATACTTCATATTAGGTCAATACTTTACGTGGGCCTATGACCTAATTACCTTTGATTTTTATCACTAGAAAAGTTTGTTTCTGATTTATATAGTTCAATAAGCCACTATAGCTTACGTGCGTCCTACATCTTTATTGCTTTCAGCTTTCCATTGTTAATTTTTAAAGTCTCCGTATTATTTCAAAACTTAATAAATAGGTTTTATTGTTAGTTCATATAAAAATATTTAATTAATATTTATTATGTCAACATCTAATAGCTTCAATTAAAGTAAGCGATGTCAACAGAATAAAATTAGTTTTGAAAAGTTTAATCATGTCTAAGATAATATTTAATAAGAACCGCCGAAAATCTAGTATATATTTTATAAACTTCCATCGCTTCCATTTTTTGGACAGGTAAGTTATAATTGTTTGTTTTTTTTGTGTGAATCTTAAGATTTAAAAGATAGATATTTGCCACCTTTACCCACATTGGTCTCTATTGTGAATTATCTATGTTACATAATACATTGCTAATCTATACTTATAATAAATCTGTAGAGAGGTCAATTCTGTACATGAAATATATTTCCAAAATAACTATAAATCAGGGGGCGATTAGGGATCGATACTGATGCCAAAAATGCAATCAGTAAAATTTTTGTCTGTCTGTCTGTCTGTCTGTCTGTATAACCGTTATAGAAACAAAAACTACTTGACGGATTTTAACGAAACTTGGTACAATTATTTTTCATACTCCTGAGCTGGTTAAAGTATACTTTTCATCACGTTACAATCAATAGGAGCAGAGCAGTGACGAGAAATGTTGGGAAAACGGGAGAAGTTACTCTATTTTTTAAGCTTCCGTCGCGTGTGCAACCTTAATGGTTAAAGCTACACAGAAATCATGTATGACGGAAATGTTCTCCTTAAAATTATATAAAAAATATCCCACGACAGCATATGTCTATCTTTTATGTTTGACTCACAATAACACGTGTAACTCCCGATAGCTTAGCAGTTCGAAGCTTTCTGATTTATATTTGTCTACTCTTACGTTTGTAACACTCTTAGTCATCCCTAATTAAAAAAGTTAACATTATAAACTATTCCATGAAAAAGAATCATAGAAATCGGTATAGAAACCCCAAAGTTATACATGAAATACGCTAATAATAAGCCATCGCGAGTCAGGGGGATTTAAGAAGACAAATAGAACAAATCCAGTTTTCTTTTAATTTTTTTGTTTCTCTGTCTGTTTGTCTGTTTGTACGGGCTAATCTCCGAATCTATTGGACCGATTTAAATGAAACTTTGCATGGTGGTACCTTATATCCCCGGACAACGTTTTAGATATTTTTTATCCCGGAATATTGAATGGTTCCCGTGGGATAGTTAAAAAACTAATATAACTCATACAACTTATGCACCTAATTTAGTAAAATTTAACATTCTGATACCTTATATTGCCGGTCAAACAACAGGTTACTTTTCATCCGGGAAAAATGAACGGTTCCCGTGGGAACTAATAAATCTCTATTAGTGTTTTTCTAGAGGCGAACCCGAGCGAAGCGAGAGTGAACCGCTAGTACGCAATAAAGAAAACAACCGACTTCCAGGCACTAAAATGTTAAAAATAACTAAATGGAGGTTTTCATTTAGAATATATTGTAGATACCTAATCATAATATTTACATTTTAGTGCCTGGAAGTCCGTTTTTCTTTTAAGTTTTTATTTTTCCATTTTTAGTGTACACGTAATAAGAAGGTAATTTGTAAGAAGAAAGTTTTTTAATAACATATTCGATAAACAATTTATTTAAAAAAAAAGTATTGTTGATATTTTAATAAACCGCTCGACCGATTTCGATAAAATTTACATGAGACCACTTAGGAAGAACACCTTTGAAACAAAAAAAAATCCAAATGGGTGAAAGCAAGCGTCTTCGAGTAATCGGTGAACATACATTAAAAAAAAGATTCCGACGAATTGACCGCCTCCTCCTTTTTGGCAGTCGGTTAATAAGTAGGGTATTTGATCTGATTGATTGGGTGATAACCGAATTTCCTTGAATATTATAACTCTAAAACGTTTATATAAAAAAATGCACAGGGCCGGATTATCCATAAGGAAGCTTAGGCAACTGCCTAATCTATGGGCCCCGCATCGGCTAGGGACCAACGCACGGAGAAAATAAAATTGAAAATGTATCATTGAGTGAAAATTTAATTAAAAAAAAATAAAAAATTGGTGAAAATTCCACCATGAGGACAAATGCAACAGTTAGATTTCTATGAAATCTACCTAATAGCGTAATTACGAAAAATTCATTTTAATAAGTTAGAAAAAGGTGAAAGAGCCCCGAGAATTGCATTGCCTAGGAGCCCCCGGCATGGTTAATTCGGCCCTGTGCATCAAATAATATTTTATAACTCCATGTTCTAAGTACTTACTTCTACCGTAACCGCATAGTTTCTTTAAACGACGAAATATAAATCTACATTAAAATTTTAATAAATGTCACGAAAAGAAAAATGCCTGCATGTAAATTCACTATTCTGTGGTTTTCTACATAATAACAATATTTACACGTTATATGCACATTAGGTGGCTACATATTTGCTACTCAAAAGAAATTTATTTTGTACGTTTTGATATAAAATTGAATGCAAATTTACTATTTTGAAAGGCTAATGAAATTTTTATTAAATGTTGATTGTTAAACTACTTACCAAGTACCTAAATAATGGTATAGGTAATTATAAAAATTCTGAACTTTGCCATACTTTATTTAAATAATTCCTCTGTATGAATTATAAAATTAATTAAGTTAAAGTCATTTAACAACATTTGTTTCAAAACGAGGCCGATGAGATTTCTCATTTCGCCCTTTCCCTGTCCCACAGTTGGGCAACCCTTCCTGCGAGTAAGCCGAGGATGACCACGTCACATGTCCTTCGTAAATTACCTCGGTTCTCTCAGACATGCAGATTTCATCGCGATATTTTCTTTCACCGTAAAGTCATGTTGAGAAAACATTAGGACCATTTGTTCCAAAAGCACCCCTTAGCAAAATAAAAGCAATATCTAGCCTATGAACTTTATAATTTACATTATAATATTTTGAGAGTTCTATTATAGAGAAAATTATAGAGAAAAAAGTCCTTATAAGATTAGACGTGTTTGTCTGCATGTCCGCCTGTTATATAAGTACCTACCTACTTTAAGGTACAAGTTATCACCGAAGTTACTAAACCTAGAATTAAAAAAAAATGCAGAATTTTGCTTATAGAAGAAACATATAAAAACGAAGTCTTCAAAAAAACAATATAACAATAATTTACTCGCGACTCCTTACGTACTTGTTTAAAAATAATGGATTTCAAAAATCCTTTCTATAATGTAAGATAATTTTTAAACTTTGCTGGTGTGTAAATGCATTAGATTGTAACTATATACATATAAGGATTATGTATTACACTGTTTGTTTGTTTTCAGAAAAAAAAATCCTATTTATATATACCTACTCTTGGATGTAACTTTTAAACATTATCTTCTCATTCGGTGTTTAACAAGGGGGCATCAGGTAATAATCCATAGTTATATATTATTATAGGTATTATTTTATTTCAGAAGCCGTGAATCTCGCAGGCGGATCAACCGTCCACCATCAGCTATATACAGCACGTTCAGCGAGCGGGTCCGAGTAAACACACCCGCCGCTTTACAATGTGCGCTGTTCTGTGGTGGATCTCGTTGCCAGTACGAGCTACCCCAAAAATGTGGAACTGCCATACAAGGGTTATATTCTGATTGGTAAGACATGAGAATTACTGTTATATACTAGCATAAACCTTGTTTCATCGGGATAAATCAAATGTCTCCTCATTTTTTTAATTTAATTAAAAAAATATTAAAAGCTTATTTATATATTTTATGATGCTATAACATTGTAAGCAATGAAATAAAAAAAATACCTGTATGTGTGTACTTATGTAGGTACGCACGTAAGAAATTATACTTGTTTGGCGTAACAGAACAAAAATAGCTAAAGATTTCATCCTGTATGTCACAACTCTTTGTTTGTAAAAGGAGTACAGATAACTTTATCATGTCGCTTTCAGCTAACTTCATCATGTCGATTTTTCGCTGTCGGTGTGCGCGCGAATCGTAAATATTTTACTCTCTTAATTTTTCCAAACGTGCCAAAAGAAGTATAAACTCAAAAATCACATTCATAGTTCCATTGCAGGTCGAAATTCATAATTCCTTTGTCATAATAAGTAGATGGTCAAATCTCACGCTGATATAAATAAAAAAAACACTAACAGTGGAATAATACTTTTAAAAAAAATTCAAAACTGCATTATATAAATTTTTTTCTACATTTTTGTTTCCGACGTTACAAATGCCTTACAGGATTTTTTTTTAATTCGGAATCGAAAATATAATTTAATTAAATTGGCATAACCTAAGTAGCTTAATGGCCAAAACGAAAATATTCTCAACGGATAAAAACGTAAAGAGTTATCGCGTGACTGCCATTAAGCCACTCGTTCATTAACTTATTATAATATTGTCCATTATTTCATACAACACGTCGCTAAAATATAAATTAATGAGGTATAAGCGCACGCTACACAATACGAACGTGCTTTTAAAATCATATTTATAATTTTGTAGAGTAATAATTACAAGAAAACATATTCTAGTACCTATAAGTGTGAATCTAAAAACTAAAATTATAACTATTTTTTTTTATTTTATTCTACTTTTTATGAAGTTGGCTTGAGATGCACCATGTTTGAATTATTTTAGTGATACCATTGTTACCCGACTGCAATGAAAGGGTTATGTTTTTCGCGCCGATCTTTATGATTTATTTAATCAAGGTATCGTTAGATTCGTCTCATTAGTCCAAGTGTTCATAGATAGGGAACTTTTTCAAGCTCATGGATTGAAATACTATAACTAAGCAAACGAAATGAAAAATTTATAATAATATCTTTTATTGTAGTAATATATTTTAGTGGTTGAGTTTATAGCGGCCTCGGAATTTAAAAATGCAATAAAATATTAATATTATTAAGTCAAATTTATACCAGAATATACGCCAGTTTAAAAGAAACGTAATTACATACTTTTTTTGTAAATAATTTATATTTTATAATTAAATAATATAATATTAAGTATAAAAACTTCAGACAGAAGTAATTAAAACTGCAAAAAATGCTAGAATAAGCGATGCGTCGGCCGCTCGAATTCAATGCCATAGAACGCAGTACATTTTGTAATCTATTGTAACTTTAAGCTATCATTTCCAGGGTCACCGATGACATCCTCGCGATGGCGCGTCCCAGTACTGCGAGTATCGCTGCTAGGAACATTATACAACAGTTTCATAGGTAAGTATGTAAATAGAACAAACTTACAAAGTGACTTGTAATTCATAGCCTAAAATCCTACTGTTAGGTGCGGACCTCCTCTCCATGTTAGGCCAACAATCATAATCACCCAAGCTGGCCAAATGCGGTGTGGTACTTCATAAATATTGCACAAATTAATTATGTGATCTTAGACAAGTTTCATGATTTTGATGAAAATTTTTGAGAAAACCTGGGATTAAGGAATATGCCCCACTGGACCACTTTGGCTTGGTTTTAATTTTTACTACAAATAACCTTTGCCCCATATCCGTTCGTGCACGAACAATGCTCATCATATTATTCTCTCCATTTACATATTTCTCATATTATAGGTATAATTAAAATATACCGACAAAAAATTGTAAACGGCTTCTTACATTGGATTTGGCCGCAAAAAAAAATATGTTTTCTTTGGATTTTTGTCTATTATGCGTTCCTAATCCAATCAAGCTTAGGGACACATCCCAGCGAAACGAGGTTAAGTCGCTAGTATTTCTCAGGTATTTGACTCAGACCAATAAAATATTTTTGACGACACGTTTAGCTCAGTTTGTAGTGACCCTACTTGCTGTGCCAGCGGTCGCGGGTTCGAGTCCAGCTGGGGGCATTCATTTGTGTGATAAGCATGAATGTTTGCACTCCAGTCATGAGTGTTTAAATTTATTATATGTGTGTATTTAAAGTTATATACGTGTAGTGTACCAACTATCTGGTATCCATAACACAAGCCTCGTAGCTTACCATGGAACTAGATGGTGTCGTGTGTTAATGTCCCAACATATTTATGTATATTTATTTATTATTATTATTGTACAAGGTATTTCATTTGAAAACGAAGATAAATATATTAAAATTAAATGTACAATATACATATCTACTAACAAAATTATCGTACGATGATAGAACGATTAATTTAAATTGAATCACCAGCAATCAATTTTTAATCAATGTTAATCACCGATTTTTACAGAGAAAGGTTTCTGATAATTAAGAGAAATATATTTTTAATGCAGAAAAAAATGTTTATATAAATATTTTGTTAGTAATTTAAGGTAAGGGCATGTATTTTTTATTAATTAACAAAAAAATAAAAACCGACTTCAAACAAAAGCACTAAAAAGTAAAAAATAACTGATTGGTAGTTTTCATTTACTATACATACCTAATCAAATATTTTCGAAGTCGGTGTGCTTTGTTTTGTATGGGCTGGCACCGATTTCAAAAATATTTGATTAGGTATGTATAGTAAATGAAAACCACCAATCAGTTATTTTTTACTTTTTAGTGCTTTTGTTTGAAGTCGGTTTTTATTTTTTTGTTAAAAAGTTTTTATTTTTCCCTTTTTAGTGTAGACAGTAGTAGCAAAGTAAGGATTCTAACGTGTTAGGCTTGTCAAATCAAACAATATAAGCCCAAACTCAAAGTATCTACTATTAGCCGTTGAAGAGTTCCACCTATCCACCTTCTGGCCTTGCAATCAGATCAGGTCAACAACACCGAACCACTGTACTATCAACGGAAACAGAAATACTTGCAAAGTTTCAAGTCAAAAGTAGGTTAAATTCATCATTAGTTGTTTTTCCACCCTTAGAGGTGGTATTTTTTTTTGAAATTTAAATGGGACCAATCTGGAAGTATACCCTTTCAAACAAAACAAAAATTGTCCAAATCGGTTAATAAATGACGGAGTTCTGAGGTAACAAACATAAAAAAAACATACAGTCGAATTGAGAACCTCCTCCTTTTTGAAGTCGGTTGAAAATTAGAAACACTTGAAAAAATCTTCGACTTTTTGTTATGGTCATTGTCGAACGAATAATTCTTTTACATAGCTTTTTTATTTCTCTATATATCTCTCCTCAAGATCTCCGTTTGTGGAAAACTCATAAAACCTTAGCCAATAAATAAAAAGAAATTAAAAACCGTTATTATAACTATTAACTGTACAGTATAATTTAACTTTATGGTATTACTATACATACAAACAAATATATGTATGTATTTAGTATTAGCATAACTGCGAAATCGCAGGAAAATCAGTAGCCTCATTTAAATGTATAAAAGATAGGTACTATGAAAAAAACATTGTTACATTACTTAATTCATTAATTTTATTTAGTTAGTTTGATCTCACCGTCCACTTATAAAATATTATATTTTATGTTTCTTTTGTATGGAAATAGTTAACAATATACATAATAATTTATACAGGTACCCATGCTCAGCATAAAACAAAACAATCGTTTTCCTGTACTTTTCCTGAATAGGTACTGTGTATGCTGACAATCTTAAAAACAATTTTAGATATTTTAATAACATATCTATATCTTCTTACTAAGAAATTATATCAAACTATCTCTAGTAAGACGAACCACAGCTAGATTGGTTATTGGGACTAACCGTTAGTTAAGGCAGCTTTAACAGACAGCCAGTGTCCTAAAAAGCCTATTTTAAAACACGGATCTATTTGTTAATATTATAAAATTGTTTGTTAACATTTTTTTAACCGACTTCAAAAAGGAGGAGGTTCTCAATTCGACTGTATGTTTTTTTTTTATGTTTGTTACCTCAGAACTCCGTCATTTATTAACCGATTTGGAAAATTTTTGTTTTGTTTGAAAGGGTATACTTCCAGATTGGTCTCATTTAAATTTCAAAAAAAAATACCACCCCTAAGGGTGGAAAAACAACTAATGATAAATTTAACCTACTTCTAATTGTCATATTGACTTGAAACTTTGCAAGTATTTCTATTTCCGTTGATAGTACAGTGGTTCGGTATTGTTGACCTGATCTGATGGCAAGGCCAGAAGGTGGAAAGGTGGAACTCTTCAACGGCTAATAGTAGATACTTTGAGTTTGGGCTTATTTTGTTTGATTTGACAAGCCTAACACGTTAGAATTCTTACTGTGCTACTACTGTCTACACTAAAAAGGGAAAAATAAAAACTTTTTAACAAAAAAATAAAAACCGACTTCAAACAAAAGCACTAAAAAGTAAAAAATAACTGATTGGTAGTTTTCATTTACTATACATACCTAATCAAATATTTTCGAAGTCGGTGTGCTTTGGCTAAGTAATTAAAGCCTACCTATTAAATACATACCTAATCAAATATTTTCGAAATCGGTGCCAGCCCATACAAAGCAAAGCACACCGACTTCGAAAATATTTGATTAGGTATGTATAGTAAATGAAAACTACCAATCAGTTATTTTTTACTTTTTAGTGCTTTTGTTTGAAGTCGGTTTTTTTATTATTTAATACTTTTACTGTTTGGGTACTTGTTGCTATGTAAATGATTGTTTATTTCTAGCACATGGCACAAAGGCCACCAAAGCGCAAAAGTCACAGATATTTATAAATTTTGCTGAAAGTTTGAAATGATTATCACCTTTTATAAGTATTTTCACACAACCTAAAACAAATAAAAAAAAGATTCTTAATAAGCATTATTTTTTTAATTTTTGATTAAGATTTTTTTACTTCTATTAGGGATTTAAAAGGTGAATCAAAAATCAGAATATATGTAGAAACTTATGTAATCGTTGCAAAGCGGTGGCATTGTCCAGCTCTATGTAAATTTACTTCGATCAACGTTGTATTGTCATTGGGCAGGAAGAAGAACGTTGTATTGTCATTACTACTCATTACTGAAATAAATAAAACGACAAAGTTATTTATTTGTTTCTTGGACGGCATATTTTATGCAGAATAAATATACTCGTACATGCTGTCTGTTGCAAAAAGTGACCTAGAGCCAGGAACGATGCTACGCTAATGTCATTTTTAAAACTATAATATATATAACAGCGACTTATCCTCACTTTAATAATAATAATATTAGAAAATGACTAATGTTACAATAGTACCCATAATAGTGTCCGCAACAGGCGTTGTCCCGAGATATTTATTTAATTCTTTAACCATTCTTTCTTTACCTAAATTCACATATTTAACTCTTCAGAAAGCTGCTATTTTAATCAGCTGCAGAACAGTAAGAAAATGTTTGCAACATTCTTTAGATAGTGATGAAATAGTACAACAAGCCACCTAGAACCGATTCAGCACTTGGTTCACGCCCGTGCTGGATCATATTACCATATTTGATTTATAATAATAATATAATAATAATAATCTTTATTGTCAAAAAAGTACAGCTTACAATATATTAACTCACAAACTTGTAACTCACACTAGGCAAAGCCTGTATCGTGAGTACCACAATTTGATTTACTTTACTCGATGCATCCATATTTGCCTAACAACATTCCAGTAGTATCCAAGTCATAGTCAATCTGTGTATTAATTTAATGAAAAATCGTCCAACTGTTTCAGCGTAAAGACTAAAGAAGTAACAAACTTACACAAACATACACACAATCTATTGCATTTATAAAAATCTGTTCTTTTTTCTATACAGCTGGGGTATCCGAACTGTGATCAACCTCCAAACACCTGGAGAGCACGCGAGTTGTGGACCTTCACTTACCGAGTCAGGATTCACATACGACCCCAACATATTCATGGCTAATGATAGTAAGTTGAAATACATATTTTTTATTCATTTCCAATTAAAAAATCATTGTTGAAGGGCAAGAGCTTGATAAATGTTTGCTTTTCTTTATTTGATCCACTTCGAAATTGTTTTCGCAGTATACTACTACAATTTCGCTTGGCCAGACTATGGGGAGGCGACTCTGAGTGGACTATTAGATATGGCAAAGGTGCTATCATTTGCTTTACAAGAAGGCAGAGTAGCGATTCATTGCCATGCAGGTAAGAATACCTCTCTTTTATCTAACTAAACGGGAGATTTATGTAAGTTCATATACATATTTTTAAACTGTCATTTTACCATCCTACTTTTAGATATCCTGTAAATCAGCATTAAAAAAAATGATATTTTTTAACCCCCGACGCAATGATGTAAGACGTCAATGTCTGTCTGAGTGCCTGTGGCATCGTGGCTCTCAAACGGATGGACCGATTTCGTTGCGTTTTTTTTTCATTTGAAAGCCAGTTTCCTTGCGATGGTTCTTAGCTATATTTAGTTAATATCCGACCAGCAATGTAAGAGTATCAGCTCTTTTCCAAAATGATGTAAGGCATTTTGGCGTATGATTACTCGCGATTAGTGCTCCACGCGTGCCAGTGTAATCGTTAAATGAAACTACTTTTCAACGCTTTGCGTCCCCCCATTTATCGAGGGTAGCTGGGCATGTAGGGCATTTTACGAATTTCTATTCCTTATAGATAGATAGATAGATATATGCTTTATTGTACACCACAAAGAAATATACAAAAAGTAGATATAAACAATAGATGATGCACAGCAGGCGGCCTTATCGCTATAAGCGATCTCTTTCAGGCAACCTTAGGGCGTAGGAGAAATTATATGAAATAGGCGGTGTACTTACTACACACAATTGCATATCCTAAATACAGACATACATAAATACATACATACATACATACATACATGCATACATACATACATACATACTTATATACATACATACATAAATGCATAAATACAATGCATACATACATAAATGTAGATCAGATGAAAAAGTATAAAAAGTTCAATATAAGACACTATCGAGACAAATAATATGATTTTAACTGTACCTTAAAATTATCAAAACTTTTGGCACGCCTGATGTCATTGAAAAATTATTCCATAAGCGTGCAGCCTTTACTGCGAAGGAGTTGGTAAGGAAACAGGAGGAGTGAGAAGGAATTTTAAGCAATAACGTTTCACTAGAGCGAAGTGAAAGAGTATGGGTATCACTCAAAAACTGGAAACGCTCTCTAAGGTAGGAAGGAGAAGAAGGGTAGAACAGCACGCAGTAGAGAAGATGAAGTACATGAGTATTCCTGCAAAGGCGGATTGGGAGCCACTTGAGCTTTTTTCAAAATTCTGAAACATGAAAATTTACGAAGACCAAATATAAACCGAATACAAAGATTTTGAAGCCGCTCAAGTCTATTTAGATGCTCCTCTTTAACGACAAGATAGCAAGTATCAGCATCATCAAGAATTGGTAGAAGGAGTGAATTTGCTAGTGCAATTTTGGTTGATATGGGCAAAAAAATTCGCAACCTCCGAAGAGAGCAAACTGCACCAAACATCTTTCGGCTCAGTTCACTTACCTGTGGTACCCAAGATAAATATTGATCAAAAATGATCCCCAGGTTTACCTTATCAGAATACTGAATTTCGATATCATTCAATATAACCGGTGGCGTCCCAGATCGTGATATTTTTGATAGTAACCTCTGGCTGCCTATTATAATTGCTTGTGATTTAGAAGGATACCATAAGATTCACTCCATGCTGAAATACAAGACAGATCTATATTAATTAAACTAATTGCATGAGTGATGCATAAGTCTGGTACAGATGACGATGTGTAAATTTGTAAGTCGTCCGCATATAGGTGGTAGAGAGAAGAGATTTGATGGGGAATAGAATTAATGAAAATTGAAAATAAGAGAGGAGACAACTCGCCCCCTTGTGGTACACCGGCTTTAACCATAGACCAATAAGAGAAAAGATCTTCAATAAGTATGCGTTGCCGGCGCCCGCACAAGTAACTACGAAACCAATCAATCACCTCAGGAGATATGTTAAGAGAAGATAATATGGCAAGTAGGATATCAAAATCTACAGTATTGAAGGCATTACTGAAATCCAATAATGTCAATATGGTAACTTTCTGGCTGTTCATACCTTCTCTAATATCATCTGCAATTTTGACCAAGGCAGTAGTCGTACTATGACCGATGCGGAAACCGGATTGAAAGGGATTTAACAATTTGCGATTGTAAAGAAAAGTATTTAGCTGTCGGTGCACAAGTCGCTCCAGCACTTTGACAAGAAAGGGAGAATAGAAATTGGACGATAATCGGAAAAAGAAGAAGGATTAGATTTTTTCGGTATAGGAATTATTTGTCCATCTTTCCAGGAAGTAGGAAATTTATGGGAGCATAAGGAAAAATTTAAAATTGAAGTGATTGTAGGAGCTATTATTTCAAGGACGGGAACGATCATTTTACGACTAATGCAGTCGGCCCCAATAGCATTGGATTTTATAGACAAAATATTTCTCTTAACATCACTTATGGAGAATTGACTAAATTGAAAATGCGGAATATCAGGAGTAGGTGAAGCTGAAAGATGATTTATTGTGGTAACCTTTTTTATACTACTTGTATTTATTATAAAATTTTAAAATCATAATACTTCAGGTTTTCAAGATTTTTTCGTTTTAAAAATAAACGGATTCCGATTAGTCTATACGTATATCAATGTCTCAGACTAATAAAATTATATAGAACTAAATATGAAATCAATTTGTTATTTTTCATAATATGTTTGTTTTCAAAAAATATAAAAAAAACCATAACGATTATTATAAAAAAAAACCTTATTTAAAGTAAACAATCGCTACGGAAACATCAAGAAATCTAGATTAGGTAGTAGTAACATTAAAAACTTAAAAAATAAATATAAACCGACTTCCAGGCACTAAAATGTAAAAAATAGCTAAACGCAGGTTTTCATTTAGAATAGATACCTAATCAGATATTTTCGAAGTCGGTGCCAGCCGATGCAAAGCAAATCTAATATATTTCGATACGTAAAATACATAACAAACTGATGTATAATATTTTAACTATAACTAGAGTTAATAATATATCTAATCATATTTACCTATTAGATATTTATATCTTCAAATATTGTCGGCTGTCACTGACTTTGAAAATATCTGAATAGGTATCTATCTATACATATAATAAAATTCTGAGCTGAATCTGTATATTAAATATTATTTGAAAAATCTTGTTGAAATAGATAATATTATCGATACAGAAGCCGAATCTATAGTTTTTAGAATTTTTGTCTGTCTGTCTCTCTGTCTGTCTGTCTGTCTGTCTGTCTGTCTGTCTGTCTGTCTGTCTGTCTGTCTGTCTGTCTGTCTGTCTGTCTGTCTGTCTTTCTGTTACCGCATCACAAAAAAACTACTGCAGGGATTTTGATGAAATTTGGTATGGTCATAGCTGGTTATCCGGGTCAACATATAGGATACTTTTTACCGCCGGAAAATGTCGCATTTCTGAGAAAAAATACAAAAACTGCTACGCACTGTATACTAATATGTAAAACCTAAGAATTTGGTTTTTGGTCATTTGAACGCGGGCGGAGCCGCGGCAAATGCTAGTTCTAAATAAAAACCCGCGTTTACTTATTTTTTACCTTTTACATTTTAGTGCTTGGAAGTCGGTTTTATTATAAGTTTTTATTACATTATTTTTTTTGTTGGACTCATTCTATATATTTTTTAGTCTGAGCATATAATTCATCACAATAACAGTAGTTAATTATGATAATAGTATACGTAATTTAAATAAGAATTTACACAAATCTAAATACGATTCAGTGTAAACTTATAATTCACGGAACAATGTGGTCTGTACTTTTTGTTGCGATTAGCATTATTATCAAAGTTTCTCTTAGTATATTACTAATATTATTGTTATTGGCGTTTGGATTTCGGGTTTTTGTACTCAGAGAATTTTTTAAGGGAGTGTGCAAGTGTAAAACTAGATTGGACGGCAAAGTTGTCATTGTCACTGGAGGAAATTCTGGTATCGGCTTGGAAACAGCCAAAAATTTAGCTGGAAGAGGCGCGAGAGTCATAATCGCAAGTAGGGATGTTAAAAAATCTGAAAAAGTTGTTACAGATATAAAAGCAGCTACTGGAAACACAAATGTAGAATTCCGACAACTGAATTTAGCATCTAAAGATAGCATTAAAAAATTCGCTGAAGAATTCAATAAGGATTTCGACCGTTTGGACATTTTGGTTAACAACGCCGGCATTGGTGCTATAAAGAGCGCTACAAACAGTGACGGAATAGACTTACTAATGCAAATTAACTACGTCGGTCCGTTTCATCTTACTCAATTATTGCTTGATAAACTAAAAGTCTCAAAACCAAGTCGAATAATTGTGGTATCTTCGTACGCACATGCTTTTGCCAAATTTTCTCTTGAAGATGTTACAAGAGCCTCAGATGGCACTGTGAGATACTGTAATACAAAGCTCTGCGGCATGTTGTGGACTAGGGAGTTAGCTAAGAGACTGCCCGAAGGTGTAACCGTCAATTCTGTACACCCAGGACTTGTTAAAACCAATATTTTTAATAGAATGTCAGCCTTCAATAAACGAATACTATTTTTAATTATTGATCTTGTTTACAAAACACCACTTGAAGGAGCTCAAACTATAATTCATCTGTGTGTATCCCCGAAATTAGAAAATTCGACTGGAGGATACTATGTTGACTGTGAAATAAGAAACCCATCTAGTCTAGCTGAAAATGATATTCTAGCAGAAAAATTGTGGAATAAAACAATGACTTTAATTGAATAATAATATTAATAGTTTTTATTGTTATTATTTATTTTATACCATTTACTCTCGAATTTTGACATTGAAAGGGTTCAAAGTAGGTGGCTGTTGGGGAGACCTGATACACTGTTTATTTGATTATATAAAGTACTGATAAGCAACATAAGTGTACACAAAATGATTTTTTAATTAAGTGTCCATCTTTTATTTTAAACTTAATGCCCCTAAGCTTTCATCAAGTTCACCAAAGTTCAAAAATCAGTAGGTAATCTAAATATAATCTATATCTAAAGGTTTGATTTCAAAAATTACGCAAAATATTAGAAAATTTGATCAGTCATGAATAAAATAAGCAATTTTGTTTCCCTCTTGGTTGTATTATAAAATAGTTGATTTTTCTTGAAAACTCCATCGGACTTCTATTATATTTGTGTAAATTTGTATTATATGAGTGTATGTTTGTTACTGCTTTACGCTGAAACGGCATGACGTTTTTATTTTTATTTTGTTAAGGATCTCCAACAAAATATACACACTTTACATAATTAGTTTTTGTGTACCAAGCTGTACAAGTTAATATAGTTTTTAACTATCCCACGGAAACTATTTGATTTTCCGGGATGAAAAGTATCTTAGACGTTGACCTAGGATATAAGGTAAAACGTGCGTTCACCTTGTCGTGGTTGGGGGCTCAGTAGTGCCCGGTAATCCAACCGGGCGCGAAGCTAAGAAACGCACAGGGAGGTTGCCCACTTCGTTGGGCGGTGGGAGGTGGCCCTCTTCGGGGGGCGGTGTACCTTGCGGGTTGCTCCTGGTACTTCTCTGATAGCAGAGTGGACCTTGGAGCAACCCCATGGTTGTGGTGGTCTGCTTTGGCAGACCTGCCGTCGGGGCGTCGTAGTTGAATGCGTAAGCGATCCTACGACGCCCCATTAAGACGGGGGAAGGTTTTGTTGGGTTTTAGTGGGTAGTACTGGCTGTATTACGCCGGTGAGTCCCACACGTCGTGCGTAAATGCATTTCCCAACGTTAAAAAAAAAAAAAAAAGATATAAGGTACCACCATGCAAAATTTCATTTAAATCGGTCCAACAGTTTCGCAGATTAGGCCGAACAAAGGGACAGAGAAACAAAAAGTTCGAAAAAAAAACTGGATTTGTTGTATTTCTTTTCTTACAACTTATCAAAACAATTAAAATTCACGAAGTTGCCATCACGACTAAATCGAACTTGATTTGACGCGAAGTGAACTAGTTCAGCGGATTTAAAATAATTATAATGATTAGGTATTATAAAATGAAATAAACTTTATTCAATTAGACTTATTACAAGTACTTTTGAATCGTCAATTTAATGAAAGCGTCAGTGTAGTCAGTCCTTCCTCACGGACTACTACTACTAACTACCACCGGCTCGAAAAGCAGTTCTGTTGAGAAGAACCGACGAGAAACTCAACAGTTGCTCTTTTAAATATAAAGGTTACATTTATTTTATTAACATAAATTTATAGATAGCCTGTATATCATATCAATATCACTCAATTCCACACATTTTCATCAACAAGAAAGTTTTGAAAAGGTAAATCTAGGATATTTTGTGGAATCTTATTATATATGCGTATACTCAAGCCCATGAAGGATTTATTCACCTTTTTGAGACGAAATCTAGGCGTAACAAGCTTATTTCTATTCCTAGTGTTTAATTGTGTGTCTATTACTGTTTTTTACATAATTATTTAAATTCTAACGAACGAGTAATATATTACACAGTATATATTGTGACGCAACCATAAGAATACCAATTTTTTGAAAACATCTCGCAGGGAATCACGAGCTCTTAGATCATAAATAGCCCGTACTGCTCTTTTTTGAAGAATAAATATTGAATTAATTTCCGTGGCCCTGCCCCAAAGAAGTATTCCATAAGATAGAATACTATGAAAATAACTAAAATATACAAGTCGAGCGGTGTTAATATCCGTTAGTTTTTTAACTTTCCTAACTGCATAGGTGGCGGAGCTGAGTTTACCTGCAAGTATTGAGAGATGGGAATTCCACTGGAGTTTGGAGTCTAGTGTTATACCTTAAAATACTGCTGATTCAGTTATTTCCAGCGTTTCATTATTCATAATCAGAGTAAAATTCTGCTTTTTTACGCTAGGCAATGTAAATTCGACACATTTTGTTTTTTTAAGCATTTCATACTAGGTTATTTAATTCAAACCAGCAAACTATATGCGACAATGCACTGTTTACTTCGTCATAATCAGGTTTACTACGCTCAACTTTAAAAATTAAGGAGGTATCATCAGCAAACAGTATAATATCGCATAATTTATTTATGTAGAAAGGTAAGTCATTAATGTATATTAAGACAAAAAGGGGCCAAGAATAGATCCCTGTGGAACACCCATTTTTAAAAGAGATCCTGCCGATTTCTAATTATTTATATCAACCCTCTGGATTCTCTGATTGAGGTACGAAGCAACAAGATCAAGTGCAGCGACCTGAATTCCATAATGATTTAGTTTAAGTAAAAGTGTTTCTTGATCTACACAATCAAAAGCTTTAGACAAATCGCCAAATACACCAATAGCATTTCTCCCATGCATCGTAAATGTGCCTAAGAAGCGCAACACCCGCATCAGTTGTAGATTTACCTTTGGTGAAGCCAGCAGTGAACAGTACGTTCACTGTGCAAAACATTGTTACAAGAAAAGAAATTACTTAATTGGTTTAAAATTATTTTTTCAAATATTTCGCTTAATGCTGGTAATTTCAAAATAGAACTATAATTTCCAGGTTCAAACCTATCACCATTTTTAAACAAAGGTATTACTTTACTATGTTTCATTAAATCGGAGAATGTACCGCTATCTACACATTTATTAAAAATAGAAGCTAAATAAGGAGCAATATTTATTTATACTCGTAATATGACTTAGCAATTTTACTGACACCCCATAAGTCACCGGTCTTTTTTGGATTTAATGTTTTAAATACTTTCACAATGTCCTCTGATGAAAGATATTTGAACGCGAGGAAATTATTATTATTTAATGTAACATTAGATTTTATTATTTTAATCGCTTCTGATGAAGATGATTTTAATGATCGAGTTACGGTCAAAGGTATTTCCGAAAAAAAATTTTCAAAACTATCTGCCTATTTACAATCGGAAGATATGCTAATGTTTTTAACTTATGGGTTCTTTAGGGCCTTCAGATTTCCCTGTAATGTCAGCAATTACGTCCCAGGTTGCTTCAATTTTATTATCAGAATTTATGATTTTATTTCATATATATATATATATATATATATATATATATATATATATCTATATATATATATTGACTTCGCGTGGGAACATACTTTTTTTTTAAATTTGAGAAATTTCTTAATTTACTAAGGAACACCGGATCATGATTTCATTGCTTCATACCATACAACTCATATAATGTTTCCCTACTCCTATATATTCCAACGGTTACCCAATCATTAAATTTCAATTTTAAATGCTTACAAATCGTTTTAAAAATATCATTAAACTCGTTCAAAATTAAATTAAAAAACTTTGTATACACATTGTCTGGGTTTTCATCTATTAAATCTATATTTTGGACTTTTTGAGTAACATTACTCTTAAAACAATTTATTTTATTAAGTGTCATAGGTCTGCAGAAGATTTTTTCTGACTTTTGAATATTATTATCAACTATGGAAATTTTTGACCATAGTGATCTAAACTTAAATTATGAAATACTGATTTTTCAAAAATATCAATTATATAGCAAAAACAGCAAAATCTGGCAAGCATTTTGAAATGTTTTTTTTTTGCTGGACTCAGTTTATATATTTTTTGGTCTGAGAATATAATTAATACATTTACAATAGAGAATACAATTACAGTAATAGTAGTTAATTATGATAATAGTATACGTAATTTAAATAAGAATTTCCACAAATCTGAATACAATTCAGTGTAAACTCATAATGCACGGAACAATGTGGCCTGTACTTTTTGTTGCGATCAGCATTATTATCAAAGTTTCTCTTAGTATAATTCTAATATTATTATTATTTGCGTTTGGGATTCGGGTTTTTGTACTCAGAGAAATTTTTAAGGGAGTGTGCAAGTGTAAAACAAGATTGGACGGCAAAGTTGTCATTGTCACTGGAGGAAATTCTGGTATCGGCTTGGAAACAGCCAAAAATTTAGCTGGAAGAGGCGCGAGAGTCATAATCGCAAGTAGGGATGTTAAAAAATCTGAAAAAGTTGTTACAGATATAAAAGCAGCTACTGGAAACACAAATGTAGAATTCCGACAACTGAATTTAGCATCTAAAGATAGCATTAAAAAATTCGCTGAAGAATTCAATAAGGATTTCGACCGTTTGGACATTTTGGTTAACAACGCCGGCATTGGTGCTATAAAGAGCGCTACAAACAGTGACGGAATAGACTTACTAATGCAAATTAACTACGTCGGTCCATTTCATCTTACTCAATTATTGCTTGATAAACTAAAAGTTTCAAAACCAAGTCGAATAGTTGTGGTATCTTCGTACGCACATGCTTTTGCCAAATTTTCTCTTGAAGATGTCACAAGAGCTTTAGATGGCACTGTGAGATACTGTAATACAAAGCTCTGCGGCATGTTGTGGACTAGGGAGTTAGCTAAGAGACTGCCCGAAGGTGTAACTGTCAATTCTGTACACCCAGGACTTGTTAAAACCAATATTTTTAATAAGTTTTCAGCCTTCTATAAACGAATACTATTTTTGATTATTGATCTTGTTTACAAAACACCACTTGAAGGAGCTCAAACTATAATTCATCTGTGTGTATCCCCGAAATTAGAAAATTCGACTGGAGGATACTATGTTGACTGTGAAATAAGAAAACCATCTATTTTAGCTGAAAATGACATTCTAGCAGAAAAATTGTGGAATAAAACCATGACTTTAATTGAATAATAATATTAATAGTTTTTATTGTTATTATTTATTTTATTCCATTTACTCTTGACATTCAAAGGGTTCAAAGTAGGTGGCTGTTGGGTAGACCCGATACACTGTTTATTTGATTTTATTATTTGATTATATAAAATACTGATAAGCAACATAAGTTTACACAAAATATTTTTTTAATAAAGTGTCCGTCTTTGATTTTAAACTTTATGCCCCTAAGCCATTATGAATATTATTTGCACGTCAGGATCATATCAAAATCAGTAGATAATCTAAATATAATCTATATCTAAATGTTTGTATTCGAAAATTTCGCAAAATATTAGAAGATTTGATGTCTCATGAATAAAACAACAATTTTATTTCCCTGTTAGTTGTATTATTATAAAATAGTTGATCTTTCTTGAAAACTCTATCAGACTTCTATTATATTTGTGCAAGTTTGTATTATATATGCGTGTTTGTTTGTGACTGCTTTACGTTGAAACGGCACGACGATTTTATTTTTGTTTTGTCACGGATCTCCAACAAAAACTACACACTTTACATAATTTAAAAACATAAAAAGTAATTAAGACTTACAATATGTGTGCTCTTTCACTTACCCTTTCGTATCCAAACGTACTTAAACCCTAACTCTGGCACGAATCCTTGTGGCTGCATGTATTGCTTTATTAGCAACGGAGAGATGTTCCATTACATATATCGGCTGCGGCTTATCTGTTGCAATACCAAGATAGCTCAAGACTTCGAGTAGAGTTTGTTCTTTGTATTTGCTCTGTTGAATTTCATTACCGTGGCTAGGCAACTATGCCGAAAATGAATTTATTTTGAATATTGTTTGAATTTAATACACATCGACTATGACCTGAAGTAACACATAGGCTACTATTAGGCACGTAGGGATGCACCATTCATCGTTAAAAACAAATCATTGGTTTTGCGGTCACAAACATAAACCATTTTGCCATACTATTTGTTTCAGAATAGAACAAGTGGCTATAAGGATAGTATGGAGTTTATGATGGCTATAAAATTTTAAATAAAACTAATTTATCGTTCCCGACGAGTCTCTGCCGTGGCAATGATTGTTGTAAAGCATTCGAAACGTCGGGAACCAAAAATCAAAGTAAATCCCCGAAATAATCCGAAAAACTTTGACAATATCATAGCAAAACCTTAACTGTATATAAAATTGATCCAAATCATTATAGCCGATACCGAACCGTTTATTTTTCCCGGATGAAAAGTAACCGGTTGTTTGACCGGCAATATAAGGTGTCAGAATGTTAAATTTTACTAAATTTGGTGCATAAGTTGTATAAGTTATAATAGTTTTTTAACTATCCCACGGGAACCATTATATTTTCCGGGATAAAATATATCTAAGACGTTGTCCGGGGATATAAGGTACCACCATGCAAAATTTCATTTAAATCGGTCCAATAGATTCGGAGATTAGCCCGTACAAACAGACAAACAGATAAACAATATCACACGGGAACGCAGTCGAACGGGATAAAAAGTATCCTATGTCCGTCTCTGGGTTCTAAGCTACCTCCCCGCCAATTTTCAGCCAAATCGGTTCAGCCGTTCTGGAGTTATAAATAGTGTAACTAACTCGACTTTCTTTTATATATATAGATTAAATATACACTAATTTACATATAGGAAGTAAAGGTTACTGCCACCGATCGCAACGCTAACTTTGGTTATCAATAAGTCTATTACCGCATACACCACAGAAAAACCTCTGGAGGGATTTTGATGAAATTTGGTATGATGATAGCTGGTTATCTAGGTCAACATATAGGATACTTTTTACCGCGGGAAAATATCTCATTTCTGAGAAAAAATACAAAAACTGCAATGTAAGAGTGTAATATGTAAAACCTAAGAATTTGGTTTTTGGTCATCTGAACGCGGGCGGAGCCGCGAGCAATGCTTGTCTTATTATATGTATAGTCCCTCCACGACCGCGGACACGCCGGCGTGTCAGTCAACAATAGATTTCTTAGAAATTTAATTAATGTCTAAGAAATTTACCTGGAGGTGTTATATAACTTTTTACTTTATATTTTTTCACATTAACAGGTCTAGGTCGAACAGGTGTCCTTATAGCTTGCTACTTAGTCTACTCTCTGCGAATTCGAGCGAACGACGCAATACGTTTAGTGAGAAAGAAGCGACCCAAGTCAGTCCAAATGAGTGGGCAGATCCTTTGCGTACAGCAGTTCGAGCACTACTTACTGCCTCAAACCATCGTTTTTAGTTCTAAGTAAGCTCAATATATTATTTTCTATTACTCTACCAATAGTAAAAATGTCCAGGAATAAAGTCAATTAAGATTTTTTAAAAATATTTAAAAAGCTACTTAATTGTAAAGGAAAAAATAAATCCTTACTTTTTGCGCCTTAAAGTAATCTATCTGTACATAATATAATAAAATTGTAACTAAGCCGAATCTGCACATTAAATATTTTTTTGGAAAATCTTATTGAAATAGACATTATTATCAATACGGCGGCCGAATCAATAGTTTTTAGAATTTTTGTCTGTTTGTCTATGTGTCTATCTGTCTGTTACCGCATCACGGAAAAACCACTGGAGGGATTATAATAAAATTTGGTATGGTGATAGCTGGTTATCCGGGTCAATATATAGGACACTTTTTACTGAGGAAAAATATCTCATTTCTGAGAAAAAATACAAAAATTGCAATGTAAAGAGTATACTAATATGTAAAACCTAAGAATTTGGTTTTTGGTCATCTGAACGCGGGTGGAGCCGCGGGCAATGCTGGTAATATAGCATATATAGCAATATAGCATAGTATGTGTGTAGTGTAATTAGCAATATAGTAATATAGCATAAGTTAATTAATTAGCTTAGAACTAGCTAATCATTGCATTCAACTGTGTGAAAGGATAAGACCTAGGAGCAGGTATTGTATACAGGGTCATTTTTAATTTACTGAAAACCTTTTGGGAATATACTATTAACATCATAACAACGACATCTGTAAGAAAAAAAATAATATTTCTTAAATTTAACAAAAAAAAAAATATTTATTGCGTGTGGGAGGGGTGGAGGGGTGTAGGAGGCGGCGCTTACTCATTTAAACTTGACCAAATGCTAGGACTATACCGTTTAGAAGATGCAATAAGAATATCTTTATTTTTGTATGAAAATAAACATATACCTAAGAATTATCAAAAAAAATTCTTACACATGTTGTTATGATGTAAATAGTAAATTAAAAATGACCCTGTATAATAGTATCATAACTTTAACCAACATACGTTGCAAATGTTTTTTTTAATTCAAAATCATTTCCCAGGGAACCAATAATGCTGACCAAAGATCGAAAAACGTCAGAATTTACTCTTCGACAATTTCTGTATAGACAAAGAGTGACGCTTCATGGTATAGAAGAAAGAGCGTTTAGACTGCTTCCAAAGGTTAGTTTTGTATAACAAATAATGCTATCAAGCGCGGATCCAGGGGGGGGGGTCATGGGGGTCATGATCCACCCCCCCCCCCCCCAAAGCCAAATATACTTTTTTGAGAAGTTTGAAGTCTAAGAAAAGAAGGAATAATACAATTTTTTTTAAGTACCTAATTCGTAAATGGCACCAAATCGGGCAGACTTCCATACATTATTGTAAAACTGATGTTTATATCGGAAGTTTGAACGCGGGCGAAACCGCGACGGGTACTGCTTTTTATAAGAATGAAGTTCTAAACTGATGGTATATTTGTCTTTATGTTTTAAGTTTTGTAGAATGAATATTTTTGTTAGATCATTGAAAACTTTAATTTTACTTTAAAACGCCATCATTCATGATGAAAATTTACAATCCATTCAAGCACTTGCAAAACATATCCTGACTAACCAAAACTATCTGACGGTGAAACAGATTAAGCTCAACTACTTCATAAATAATTAAATGATTGAATTGAAAAGTTGTGGACTTTATGTTTGTTTATTTCTTAACCAAAGGCAGTGGTAGTCCAGTCGTAACGCGCTCGCTTGGAAAACCTAGTGAAGCGGGTTCAAATCCCGGGTCTCGCACCTCTGATATTTTCATGTGCGAATCATTTTTAACTCGATTACTACTTGCCTTACGGTGAAGGAAAACATCGTGAGGAAACCTGTATATTTGAGAAAACCTAGCAAGTTTTTAAAAAGGCATGTGAACGCTAACCCACACTAGGGCAGCGTGGTGGGCTATGGCCTAATCCCCCTCGTTGAAGGGAGGCCTGTGCCCAGCAGTGGGACGTTAAAAACGGCTGAATACATTACTTAACCGACTGCGGCGAGGCCCAAAGGGATAGATAGGTATATCATTAAAATCATTTCTTATATAATCATATCTAATAAGCTTTTTTTATTTTCTTTCAGATATTGTACTGTCTGTGTGAACGTCTTCTTAAGCTTTGTGGATGTCACCAAAGCGCAGGATTAGACTTAAGAATAAAAAACAGGCCGTTTTACAAATCCTTCCTGGCTTACAATTTAAAACAAGGCCGTCCTCCTCCTAATCCTCGGACTCCTGAAGAAATCGTTATTAGTATGTATATTTTGAAGTAAAAAAAAACCTACATGTCTGAGAGAACCTAGAAAGTTTTCAAAAGACATGTGACGTCCGCCAACCCGCACTTGGCCAGCGTGGTAGACTATGGCCTGATTCCCCTCGTACTGAAGGGAGGCCCGTGCCCAGCTGTGGCTGAATACATACATGTATATTTTTGTGATGATCGTAATCACTGTTATCGGAACGGCTTACTATACACTTCACAGTTCACTGTAACAGTTAATTGTCTATGACGACTTCCATCTATTTCATTCATCGATCAAAAAAGTACTAGATACACAATCCCATGCAAAAGTTCTCTTAAAACTGTCACCAATTGTGTTTAGGTAATTATTCTAGTTGAAATAAATATACAACAATGTAAATTGAATGAACGCAATGCTTAAAGTTGTTTTCACAAAAAAAAACATGTTAAATTAAAAGCGCGCTCAAATGTTCAAATGAGCGCACATTCGGTGAGGACATTTTTATCGCTGATAGTGCATCTAGTACTTTTTTGGTCGATGATTCCATTAGTGACCTATCACAACCAAATAATTTTGTTTGTATGTTTGTTTTTGTTATATTGTTTTAGTTAACGTGTTTGTCGTTTTAGTTTCACTTACTTTACTGATATTAAGCGTATTTTTTTTTCTATAACGTACTTTTAGCGCAAGCTTCGACTCTACCAATGGTAGAGTGGAGAGATCCAATCGAAGAAGATATAGAAAGAAATCTAGAATCAGTGAGCAGAATCACGGGCAGCAGTAATGGCGGAAGTATATCTGCTCTGCATGTACATGAGGTAATTTGAATACCTACTATTTTTTTTACCATGACTTCAAATGCAAGGGCACTCAATTCGGTTTCAAAAGCTAATAATTTGATTGTATAATTTACACTATTATTTCCCATGAATTAATTAAATTAACAACATGACAAAAAATAAATTCAATTTTAATGAAAATAAGAATTTTAAGTACCTATTATATGATTAAATACTTACATAAATATCTAATGCCCTTAAACAAGCAATTCTTGTATATTTATTTATTTCTATATACTGGTGATCTGGGAAACGGCTCTAACGATTTCGCTGACATTTGGAACGTGGGAGTTTTCGGTGGCGAAAAATCGATCTAGATTAATCTTATGTCTGGGAAAATGCGTGTTTTCGAATTTTCATGCGGTTTTTATCCGCATTTTTCTACGCAAAATATGGTCGCTAATTTCGCACGCTTGACCATGAGCATCGTTGGTCAAGCGGCCAAGGCGCAAGACTGACAACCACAGGAGTCCGGGTTTGAATCCCGGTAAAAAATACGATATGATAAAAAAGAACTCTGAGCAAAGCTCGGTTGCCCAGGTACTAAGTCAGCTTATCTCGGCAACATTTTTGGTCAGTTTTCGTTAAATTCTCTTAAAAAAATTTTCCTGCAATGTTTCCATTTTAAATATATATTTCTTTATTAAATAGCAGGTGTAATGTTATAAGACCATGTTGTACTTACTACATTGCATTTTTAATTACCATCAAAAATACCGTTGCAGGCTTTTATAATTGATCACCAAAGTCTTCCAGATGAAAAACTAAAATACCTAAAGCAAGTACGCACGGATATAAATCAGAGAAGAGAGGCTATTGCTAAAATAGATGAAGAGGTAACTTATGCTTTAAATTACATAAAGTTTTTCAAACCAAATATCAGTCAAGGCGTGCAAATAGGACAATAATCTCAAAACATTACTAGTGCGGGAGTGTGATAGTGTATTTGCTGTCTACCAACCATTGATATATAAAAACATACATAGATACACATTTCCTAACAAATATATCTTCAACAAATGGCGTCGACATGTGACGTTAAGTCAAACCAAATAAAATTCAAAAATCGAAAGTTCTAATTGACTAAATACAAATTCGAACTTACGCACATCACATAAAGTATCTACTTTTTCAAAAGAAATAACGTGCGTTTTAATTTTGTCATCCGGAAAGCAATGAACAAATGAGATTTGAAAAATTGATATTTTGACTTGAAAAATGATTTTTTATTTTGTAAACCTTCCTTAAAATAACAATATTGAACACTGAAATATTTCCATTATAATTCACTCACTTTTTTATCACAAAACAAAACATATTTTGATTTTTCAAACAAGACCGTGACTGACGTGTATAGGAACGCTCACAATAAGCTATTTTTCGATCCACATTGTAGAATGAATGATTGACACTGTAGACACTAGTTTTGTTGATATGGCTACCATCAAATCGTTTTCTAAAATAGCTATCGACAACACGCTACCAATGATAGAAAGAGATTAGATATTAAACGTTAGTAACATGGCGAAGCCCTCTGGTTTCTAATGGATCTTTATTAAGTATACCGGACAAACAAATAACTCTGCTCTTTCCCGTGAGCATAATTTCTGTAAGGCGTTCGAAACGTCGAGAGCCAAAAATCAAAATAAATCCGCGAAAACCCCAAAAAGATGTATATTTTAAGATCTAAGTATTATTTCAAAACATTGATTGGTGTCTACATATTTTTATTTGATTAAGGCTATCAATTGCATCGTTAGTTGACATTAATAGATAACATGTTACAATATACGAACTCTTTTTAAAGATAAGAAATTCACTGTGTTGCAATTAATATAGCACATTTGATGTTTCAGGAAGATCCAATAATACTAACTGGATTATTGTTTGAATGGTTGGAAGGCTTGAAGCAACCTGTGCTAGACCGAGAAGATCTTTCTACTATCGTTGGGAGAAGTAAACATGTCGATTCATGTATAACTTCTTTAGATATGGTACAAATAAAAAAAATATTATTCTTTTTTAGCTACACTTCATTTTCAATAAAACTATCTTTTCGGATTATTTCAGACAGTCTGTCACAAGTATATAACGCCTTTGAGATGCCTAAAACCTTAGTCACTCCAGTGACCATGATCGCTGTAAAGCATTCGATAAGTCGGGAACCAAAAATCAAAATAAATCCGCAAAATAATCCGAAAAGATAGGTATTACACTTCATTTATTAATAAAATTGAATTTTACGCCTGTGGTTTCTAATAACTATATTTATCAAATATATACCAGCTTACAATTGCATTTATCAAATATAAAGTAGCATTTACTTGTACATTATTTATTTTTTTTATTTTAGGAAGATATAATGCTAATAGAATATCTGTTACGTTTTGCTGTACGATTAAGACCACTTGCCGCACATAAAAAAATTGACATTATAAAACGATTGATTGCTTCATTAACACATCAATCCGTTTCAATCAATGGAAAAATACTTCCGAACAGAGATTTTCCCAAATTAAGAGATGGAACTTGTTGTGAAATGATCAATTTTATGCTGAGGATGGTGGTAGAAATACAGAACGACATAATGAAGCCAGGGCAAGACGATTCCGATGTAATTGTCCCGCCAAGAAGAATAAAATCGAAAGCATGGAAATAAAAACTGTTGTCTTTGCTTATTTACTACCTATATTTTCTATAGATAACCACTTTAGCCACAGTATTGAAAAGCACAATCCTGTCTATACCTACTGTAATAAGGATAACGGGTTCGATTCCCGCACTAAAAAAATATTAATAATCAAATATTCTGTTTTAACCATATTTCAAAAAGATATGTTTATATAATCAATTATTAATTAATCTCTAAATATCGTATTGATTTTAATAATAAATATGCATTAATATACTAGTTAGTGGCTATAAAAAAGTGAGGCATAGTCGCTAGTTATAAATAAAGCCAAGTTTCTAACGGAGAAGAAAGTGAGCACGAAACTACGTTATCAACACGATTCTTACTTACACTGTATTATTTTCTTTAATATAGTACACCAAAACCTATCGAATTACATAAAAAATTTACTAATGGGGAAGAATTTTGCCTTTTTTTCCCGCCAGATGTCGCAATCACAAAACCCCGCTTTAATGTAAAGCTCTATAGCGTGGATGGATTTTACTTTATTTTTATTTAAAATTTAATTAAAATAACAACTCTATCAGATCAACAAATCTATAAGATATCATTTGTTCCCAAAAGACGAATATTGAAGAAATGTTGGCTAAAGCAATAAGACGACCAATATTGGCGAAATTACACCCTGTTTTCCAATTACAGAGCAAAAGCATAATGCCGTACTTTAGCGTACAATGCTGAAGTGTTCTAATGCTTAATTGAAACGTGAATGAGTTTTCAACAAAACTAGTGTGCACCAGCAGAGGGCACTAGATTCAGTGTTGAAAGAATAAATATATAATAATACGTATTATAAATAATACAATAAATAAATATTGACTTAAATAAAATATAAACAAACTTGAAGCTTCATACATATACGTATTTTTAAACACAGTATAAATTAGCTTTTTTTATATTTTAACAGACTACGTTGAAAGCTTTACAAATTAGTTCAACAATATTACTAACGATAATTTTAAATAAAATTTTGATCAATTCCACCTTGAAGATAATATCACTTCATAAATTTACTGCTACTGAGTTGCACGCATCACGCCAAAGCAGTACTTTTCAAAATGCTCCATTGAGCGGAGCGATGCTGAAGTTGAAACATTTGAAGTTAGAATTACCCGCATAATGCGCTTTAGTGCTCTAATTGGAAAACAGAGACAATCTTTATATTTAAGGCTATACGGTTATCATTTTAAAGAAAGTGATTTCAAAATTCTTAAATCGTTTATAGGTATATATTTTTTTGTACTTTTTACATATTAACTAACGACTCACCCTCGCTCTGCTCGGGTTCGTCCCTAAGGTGGGCCACCCTTATCACTTAGGGGTATGGAAAATAGATAGTAGCCGATTCTCAGACCTACTGAATACGCATATAAAATTTGGTAAAAATCGGTAAAGCCGTTTCGGAGGAGTACGGTAACTAACATTGTAACATGGAAATTTTATATATTAGATTACAGAATTTCATACAAACTTTCATGCCCCATTTTACCCCTATTTTAATTTTGAAAAATACTAAAACTCGTATTTATTTTATTGTATTAAAGAGGATTAATCCAAGTTCCAAGAAATTCTGATTATAAATAATTCTATGCCCATTTTTCATCTTAAAGCTAAACACCACTTTCTGTATATTTCATACTAAGAATGGCAGATGCCAGAGTTTTATACAATCTCTTTTCCCCTATTTTACCCACTTAGGGGATGAATTTCCAAAAATCCTTCCTTATCGGATGCCTATATCGTGTATAATGTATATGAAATACGTCCTCCAAATTTCAGGTTTCCCAAAAGACGAATATTGAAGAAATGTTGGCTAAAGCAATAAGACGACCAATATTGGCGAAATTACACCCTGTTTTCCAATTACAGAGCAAAAGCATAATGCCGTACTTTAGCGTACAATGCTGAAGTGTTCTAATGCTTAATTGAAACGTGAATGAGTTTTCAACAAAACTAGTGTGCACCAGCAGAGGGCACTAGATTCAGTGTTGAAAGAATAAATATATAATAATACGTATTATAAATAATACAATAAATAAATATTGACTTAAATAAAATATAAACAAACTTGAAGCTTCATACATATACGTATTTTTAAACACAGTATAAATTAGCTTTTTTTATATTTTAACAGACTACGTTGAAAGCTTTACAAATTAGTTCAACAATATTACTAACGATAATTTTAAATAAAATTTTGATCAATTCCACCTTGAAGATAATATCACTTCATAAATTTACTGCTACTGAGTTGCACGCATCACGCCAAAGCAGTACTTTTCAAATGCTCCATTGAGCGGAGCGATGCTGAAGTTGAAACATTTGAAGTTAGAATTACCCGCATAATGCGCTTTAGTGCTCTAATTGGAAAACAGAGACAATCTTTATATTTAAGGCTATACGGTTATCATTTTAAAGAAAGTGATTTCAAAATTCTTAAATCGTTTATAGGTATATATTTTTTTGTACTTTTTACATATTAACTAACGACTCACCCTCGCTCTGCTCGGGTTCGTCCCTAAGGTGGGCCACCCTTATCACTTAGGGGTATGGAAAATAGATAGTAGCCGATTCTCAGACCTACTGAATACGCATATAAAATTTGGTAAAAATCGGTAAAGCCGTTTCGGAGGAGTACGGTAACTAACATTGTAACATGGAAATTTTATATATTAGATTACAGAATTTCATACAAACTTTCATGCCCCATTTTACCCCTATTTTAATTTTGAAAAATACTAAAACTCGTATTTATTTTATTGTATTAAAGAGGATTAATCCAAGTTCCAAGAAATTCTGATTATAAATAATTCTATGCCCATTTTTCATCTTAAAGCTAAACACCACTTTCTGTATATTTCATACTAAGAATGGCAGATGCCAGAGTTTTATACAATCTCTTTTCCCCTATTTTACCCACTTAGGGGATGAATTTCCAAAAATCCTTCCTTATCGGATGCCTATATCGTGTATAATGTATATGAAATACGTCCTCCAAATTTCAGGTTTCTATGACCAGTTGTTTAAGCTGTGTGTTGTTCCATCAGTCAGTCAGGAGTCAGGACCACCGCAGGATGCAACTCTTCTTCTCAATTCTTTCTTCTACTGGTCTAACTTCTAGGTACAATACATAGCACAGGTAAGATGCGAACACGATAGAAGCAAAAAATCAGGTATAAAAGAGATATCATTATAATGTTTATATTTAACCTCAGACTGAATGTAAATAAGTCATACATGTGGCGCCCTCCTTTCGAAAAAACTTCCGCGTAAAGACAATAAAGCAAAGTTTAGTGCAAGTATCCAATCCAAATATATATTTTTTTTTGCTATAATTATGTTTTTGTGTAAGTTGTGTTTTTGACTTTTTGTTTAATCTACATTCATTACGCCTGTGTCACTGTCGTGTACTTACACGTTGTCATTTTAAGATTATTTACGCAAATCTTATCTGATTTTACGTCCAGTTCCATTTATTTTTTGTTATTTCATTATTAATTCATAAACAACTATGTCATCTCCTGAGGAAACTTCTCAACTCAAAGCCGGTCACCCTCCTGCGGGTAAGTAATAATGCTTTGTTTACTATTATTTTTAGACTCAAGTACAACTATGCATTGTTTTTTAATTATGTAAATTTCTAACTAATATAAAGAAAATACAAGTTTTAAACCATAAAGAATTAAAAAAATCGAATTGGAGCAATTGTTTATAACTGGTAATTTGAGGAAAAAAGTGGATAACCTTGAAATTGAATACTTTGTTTTAGATTAGCGTCCATAGGTAATATTGTTGTTGTTGATTCAAGGTCAGGTGATGTTTATCATGTTTATTTATATTTTAGTACTTCTGTAAGTACAATATTAATTTCATATTTTTTTATGAAAGGAAAATTATCTAACACGTAATTTTATTTTCACAGTCAAAGCAGGTGGTATGAGAATAACTCAACACAAAACACCACACCCAAAAGATGTGAAAGATGTTCCTTATGAAGATTTAACTGGACTTGCTGGGCCATCTCCAGTTCCATCTAATCCTGTATCAATTGCTGGAGCTCCAAACAGAGGTAATGCAGACTTCACTCCTCAAGCTGCGCAAATCGCCCATAGCCCTAAGCCTCCAGCTCATATTAATATCAAACCTTTTGCAAATATCCAACAGCCTAGAAAGTAGACTAAAGTTCAAGGTTGTGACAGGCATATCAACATCTTGTAGGCTATGCTAGGTGTTTGATGTAAAATATTAGAAATACTAATTCTAAAATGTTTTATAAATTCAAAAAAGTTAGATCAGAAATATTATATTATGATGACAGTACAAGATACATGCCTATGTAAGAAATATGTAAGAGGTTTTTAAGCCAATTGAATAAATAATCACTATAATTTGTCTTTCAGTTGTGTAAATTAAATTTTAAATAAAAACACCTAGCAGTAACTTATAACTTAGTGATTAGTTCACTATATTACAAAATATGGTTAATATTATTATTGCATTGTATATTAATATTTAAATATCTTGTTATATTGAAGTTAACCCTTGCCAGTCTGACCATCTTAAAATGTCTATTTAACTAGTTAAGAAAAAGTAAGCTTTTTAATCTTCACATTTTTTGTTACTCTCCAAAAAAATGAAACTATTCAAATAATTTCATGTCTACTTAAGTTTATTTTGTTTCTTTTATTCTATTGCATTCTAATCTGTGAATAATTATGTAAGTACTAAATATAATGTGATTAAGTGGTATTCTGCAAACAAGACTTATAAATTATTTATAAGTAAAAATATAAAAAAAAAATAGGTATATAATCAGTGTTGCTATATGAAGTATAACTCTGTTCTTTTTTTAAAGTATTAAAATTGAAAGAACATTCCCATGGCATTTAAAAATATATGAAAAGAGTGTTTTTTTTATTTAAAAAAACTTTTACCATGTTTCTTTACAGAAAAAAAAATATTTTGATTTTAGAAAAAAATTGGTGCTATAATTTTTGATTGGTTGCATTATTATCCTACAAGGGTTTGAATAATTTGAGTACATATTTATTTTTTTATTTCTAAATTTTATTATGGTCAAAATGTGCTGTCATTTGGGACCACATGTTTTATAGATTTTTTATTTCCTTTAGTTTTAAATAAAAACTTTTAAACTCATTGTTTTGTATTATTTTCCTTTATATATGCACATAATATATATTAACCTTTTTACTGATATTCTACATATCAGTATTACAAATAAATAAATACATATTACTAAGCCTCCGAAGGTCTGTCCCTCTTAAGGCTGGGCTGAGGGCTGTATTTCATGAACCTTAATAGGTAGAGAGTTGAAGTTTTCATAGAGTGTGTATATCTTTTGCCAAAAAAAAAACTTTTAATTATCGAAAATGCTTTTTTTTATTTTCCAAAAAATGAAAAATTAAAAAAAGATTAACTAGTGTTACACTTTTCGAAAAATTGATATTTGTAAATTATTTTTTTGCATATTTCCAAAAGTTAATAATTCAAAAAAAACTTTATTGAAACTTTACCCATTTTATGCAAAATTTCGATAGTTGGGGCGGCATTTTTCACTATGCCCAGGGGCGGTGCTAAGGTTAAATGCAGCCCTAAAAGGAACATAGTATTACGGAGTCGGAGACATACATAGACACAGCCCACAGGTATTACAAAACATGTACATATGTATGTATCTTTTTGTATTTTGAGGACAATAAGACGCCTAAAAATCGGCCATTGTAATTTTTATAATTTTGATATATCCTGTGTCACTCTCACAGTTAAGACAAATCTAACGACACAACCACGGTAATGTAAAGCGTACAGTATTCCAACTCGGGTCTGTCCTTGAAATAATTACCTACAGCCGAGCGGCACGTACCCACGCGACAGGGCTGCCCGCCGGCCAGTAGTTTAATTTCATCTACCTACTTGAGTTTCTTTCAAATTTTGTGATTTCAAATGCCTATTATATTTTTTATTAAAAACTAATATTAGGAGATTTAATTAAAAAATCTTAAATTTATAAGGGTGGTATGTGACCCCTAAAAATTTGAGATTTAAAAATATTTGTGACTCGACTGAGACGTACAAAAAGCTTTATTGTTCAATTTAATAGTATAAAGAATCCGCATTCGGATAAAAAGTTTCATTAAAAATACCTACTTTAATTTTTAATTAATTAATTCATTTTTATTTTTAAAACATACGATGCATGTCTCGACACTTTTTTATTTGACAATAGCGAAGTTACGGGAGGAATAAAATGTATATTTTTGTATTAAATTATAAAAGTTACATAACATAACCACCTTATACAATTTTCGTGTCCAACTATACGATGTGGCAGCCCCGCACGGTTGTCTACCGAGTGTATACCGAACGCGACGCGCGTAGGTATAACTCGATTTCCGACCGTTTGTATGAAGATGGAATACTGTATGTAATATTACCGTGACACAACCCAAGCTAAAATCCATGAAGCCGCTTAGACTTAGAACGTGCCAAAGAAATATACATTCAAACACTCGAAAACAACTATCCTTCTGGCGCAGTCGGGTAATAAAAAATTGTCACCTTTTAAAATATTATCAGATAAGTAACTTATAAAGAATTTCTCGAAAGTTAACTAATAGAGGTACCTACTGATATTTCTATTAGAAACCATCATTTTTAGTTGATGAAATATCCGAGCACAAGCAAGACTAATAAAATAAGATAATAACAATTTATTATATAGTCACAAAATTGGTAACAAGTGGCCCTTAGTATTTTTATTATGAAATTTAATCATCCGACTTAAGACCTCGTTCATTTAATAGCGTACGCATCAGGCATGGCATACTTCTAACTTCTAAGTAAGAATATAAACTGTAAAATTAGAATGTACCAAAGTAACATCACGATCGAAATGAAACAACTGTTTTATAAATTAATTTATAGGTATAAATAAGATTTCAACAAAATTAGTCTAGATCAGTTTAGATAAAGTATATCTATACAATAACAATTTAAAAAAAATATTTTTAATATATTTGACGCGTATATTTAGATGAAATTTTGTACAAAATATGATTAATGAATAAAAATACCATCCATTAGATTTGTAGTATCTATTAGCACTTTTCTACTTTTTGTTGACACTAGCAAGTAGCAACACTTTTAGTGACAGATGTTTACGCGCCAAACAATATGGACAATGGTTGCTGGCAAACGCTAGATAAAAGTTTTTAACTAGTTTTTTCAAACATTTGTTTGTAAAACTTCATATATTTTACATAATAGTAGTAATCTCAAATCATAATATTTAGTACGTTTGATAGAAAATGCCATGTTATTCTGTTGGTGATTTACTTAAACCAGTTAACGAGTACGCGCCCTAGGCAGGTGCTACATAATTTGATTCATGTGCTTAATACTTGTATCCGATAAGGGACTTATTTTATATTAAAATAAGCAATGGACATGGCTGCGACAACACCACGACGTTCTTTCCGTACGCCGCACAATCATACTCCGAAAATGTCTGAACGGAAAAAGGGGTTATTCTTGGCGGAAAACGAAGCATCTAGAGATTCGCTGACAAAACATAGAAGGCTTCCAGTTGTTGATAGCGAGAGCGATAGTGACTGTGACTTGGGCATTATCAGCACTCTGGATTCAAGTTCTGGAGATGAGACTGATCCAAACTTTCCAAAGACTCCAGAGAGGACGCTTTGGCGTAAGTGTTTGCTTAATTGTTGTTTATATATTTTCGTTGTAACTTGTAGAGTTAATATCAACAGTTGCAAAGTTGTAGGATAATTCATTATAGTAAGATCTATCAAGCTAAGCATAAATTTTCATGTCAAACTTTGTTGTCTGACATAAAGTATGTTTATTATCAGTTAAAACTATTATATTTGTTTCCAAATCAATCTTATTTATAAATTTTATTTATGTAAAAAAAATATTAAATTATGGAATTAGTATAATTGATGCATATAATTTAAAAATTAAATGTTTCAAGATCTTTGTTAAAATTGGGTTGTAGCATATATTTTACTTAGAATTGAAACTTTTATTATTAGGTATTTTATTTTGAAATAACATTTAATTACTATATTTTTTTTCACTTTTAATGTAGATGAAACTAGAAGCCATACAAAAAAGCTGCGAGAAACTCAAGACTTGAAGAATTTTATTAAATCACCGTTCACTCTTAAAAAATATCAAACAAGATATTCATGCCCTGAAACTAGATGTTCTCTGTCCACACCCGCAACCCCTCACTTACAAAACCACCCAGGAACCCCATCTTCCACTCATTCTTGTGCAAGTGTGCACACAACTTCCTCAACTTCCAGCAAGGCTCGCAAAAGCCTTGCTAGTCTCATAGCTGACACAGAAAGTTGCAGTAGTTCTCTTAAAGATTTAAATTTTGACACTGATTCTGGTACAGATTCTAAAGAAAACACACCAACCAAATTTCTTAGGAGATCCAATAGAAAACAAAAAATGACACCTAAACTGCAAAGTTTCAAAGGTGTATTAGTTGAACAAAAAAAGAATGTATCACCCATGAAGAATGCTGTAGTCTGCCTTACTAAGATGGATATGAGCAGCTACATATCTCCAACTCAATTGCTTAAAACACCCCATAATACTTCAGAGAACAAATCTCCACCCAAATTGGGTCACAACCGTAGATCTGTCATAGAAATAGGTGAAAGTCCTGAATCTGCTTGTGACAGTGAAAAAAGTCATAAAAGACTTCATTACGAAGACATGACTGATTCTGGTCCAATATCAAAATATCCGAGATTAGAAACTAGCATAGCTCCTAAAGCTAGACTCTCACTGTTCAACAGTGATAGGTTGAAAGAAATTTTATCAACAAAATCATTTTATGGTAAATCTAACCCTGAACTAAACACTAACATATCTGCTAAGATATCTAACGCAATTGAAGTGTCTAACAGTAATCGACGACGGTCCCTAGTTTCTCATTCCCATAGATCCAAGAGGAAACCAGGTCAGATCAATATGGGTGTGAAACATAGGATTCGCAAACCCAAAATGACTAAGTCTAAACCTATTATGAAAAACCTTAATAATTCTGCACCTAGTGTACTAAATAGCAGCATTTCATCACAGACATCTGAAAAAACATTGGACAAAAATGCTTCAATTTTGAGCCAATCTTCTGCTGATGGTAAGTAAAACTCATTTTAAATAAAGTTTTTACTAAAACTTTGAAAACAACCATTTTGTTTTTTGGAACACTTTTTTATGACTTAAATGGCCCAAATAATATTAAATCATATTATACTTTATTTAAATAGACTTCCAAAAATGTATAATAGTAAGTATATATAAAAAAAATAAAGCTTAAAAAATATTCTTTTCTAGAAAAAAACGATCCTTTTGACAAAGAAAAACAAACAATCGAAGTGTTACTTAGTCAATGGACTGAAGAAGAAATACCTGAATCGGAACTCATTTACGCTAAGCCTCGTCAAGAGGTGCCGTGCTTTAACAGCAATGTTATTGAAGCTACCAGTCAAATATTCCAGCCAGTGACTGCTATACCTGTCTCCGATAACACCATAAAGCCACAGGACTCGGAGAGTGTTATTGTGGAATTGGGAACCCAATCTATTAACTTGCCTCCGAAAAATGTACCAGAAAATCTTGTTACAAACCAAATAGTAGCTAATATTCCTGAAAATGTTGTTTTTATTAATAATGTGACGGAAAATGCAAGTCAAATACCAGATAATGTGGCAAATTTTCCACAAAATGGAGTTCAAGATGTTTCCATGGAGGAAGGTCACAGTGCAAGTCATGGGGTTATGCCCAAAACTGGTCAGTTCCTGCCAGTTGAAGGAGGTTATATATTTGTGGTTGGCGATATTGCACCTGGTATGTATAATGTATATGGTGAAAATTAAAAAACAATTCTTGTTGTATGAATATGATTGATAGCTACTTACCCTTGCTTCGTTTGGATGCGTCCTCAGGTACGCGGATTTTGCTTACAGTTTCAAGGATTTTCTTTTTTTCTTAATTCATTTCCCATATTAAAAGTAGCTTAACTTACTCCTTGTAACATCAGCTATCTACCAGTGAAAGTCCCGTCAAAATCGGTCTAGTCCTTTCGGAGATTAGGAGAACAAACAGACAAACAGAAAAAAAATAAAAATAGTTTTTTTTTCTTTCTTATAAGTATACCATAACATATACATACTTTCAAATGCATTTAGTAAAAAGCTGTTATTTGGTATTTTTGCCAAAGTAATAACTAGATTTATTATGTAATCAATTTTTATGATATTTATTTTTATTTTTTTATGTTAGTTTACATTGTTTTGGTTATTTTATTTATTAGGTCAAAAAGAAATTCCCGATTTGGATGAAATAGAAAGGGAACTGAAAATGTTAGATGAACAAATATTACAAATGGCGCAGTCCAACAACATCGACGCGAATGCAGTTCTTGCTTCCACTGAGACCATACCTGTTACAGGTAACTAGATAGCTTTATTATATTTTACTGGCAGTCGTAGCCCAGTGGTAACGCGCTTGCTTGGGAAACCGAGTGAAGCTAGTTCAAATCCCGGGTCTCGCACTTCTGTGCAGTAAGTCTTTCATGTGCGAATCATTTCCAACATGATTACCACTTGTCTTAACGGTGAAGGAAAACATCGTGAGGACTCCTGCATGTCTGAGAGAACCTAGCAAGTTTTCGAAAGATATGTGAAGTCCGCCAACCCGCACTTGGCCAGCGTGGTGGACTATGGCCTGATCCCCCTCGTATTGAAGGTAGGCCCGTGCCCAGCAGTGGGATGTCAAAAAGGGCTGAATACATACATACATTATACTTTACATCCTTTTCTTCTTAGCAAAGAGAGAGAGGGAGAGATCATAGTGTCTTATCCGTCCAAACTTAATTATCTACCTGATTATAAGTATTTCCTCTATCCTTATTCTATTAGTCAATTCTTTTAAACTAATGTTTTATTTTTTTTTATTAAAATGGTTAACTAAATAAACGAGAGTAAAAGAGATGCCTATCATATCTTTCTATTAATCTATACTAATATTACAAAGAGGTAAAGTTTGTGAGTTTGTGACGTTGTAGGGGGTAATTTCTGGATCTGAAGATAGTTTGAGACCCTGGGAAGGACATAGGATACTTTTTATCCCGAAAATCATCCCTTAAGGGGTAGAAAATGGGGATGAAAGTTTGTATGGGGAATCAAGCTAGTTAATTATAAATGTGTAAATCGCTATGAAATAGGATCATTTTAGATTCTATTATGTATATAATGATATCATTTAATAACAAACTATTGTATTGCAGAAGAAACAGCAGTCACGGATGAAGCGAGGGACAAACCACAAAAGCTATTCCCAATATTCAGTAAACCTAACGCTGGCATCAGTTCTCCGAGCACTGCTAAAGGTAAGAATTTTGTAGTGTTTTTAAAAATGTGAATATTACTTCCTATTTAAACATTTATTGAATATATCTATGTAAATATATATTTTTCTGCCTTTAAATATCAAGATACATATTATAATGATTTGTTATGCATTTTTGTATATATAACTAGTGATCCTCGCGTCACTCGGGCGTGTCCCTAGATATTCTTTGCATATTTATTAAAGTAGCATTGCCCGCCGTCTCCGCTCGCGTTCAGATAACCAAAAACTAAATTCTTAGGCTTTACATATTAGTATACTCTTACATTGCAGTTTTTGTATTTTTTCTCAGAAATGAGATATTTTCCCGCGATAAAAAGTATCCTAGATGTTGACCCGGATAACCAGCTATCACTATACCAAATTTCATCAAAATCCCTTCGGTGGTTTTTTTGTGATGCGGTAACAGACAGGCAGACAGACGAAACTTCTAAAAACTATAGATTCGGTCTCTGTATCGATAATAATGTTTGTTTCAATAAGATTTTCCAAAAAATATTTAATGTACAGATTCGGCTTAGTTACAATTTTATTATACATATATTAAATGGCAACAACACAAAATGTTGATAATACTAGACAAGCCCTCTTTCTATTATAGAAAACCATATGAAAATCTATTAGTTTTTTATTCTAGTTCGTCAAATAAAGTAAAAAGAAATCGGAGCATATCTTTCGGAAACGTGCTGGATTTTCTCACACATTCAGGTTTTCTCACTATGTAAAACATTTCTTCTTCACCTTAGGACAAGTGTTAATCATGTTGGAAATGATTTGCACATGAAAATATCAGAGGTGCGAGACCCGGGATTTGAACCCATTTCATTGATTTCCCAAGCGAGCGCGATACCACTGGACTATTAGTGTTTTCAGCTACAACTGCCTTCAAAAAATTTATGTTTAAATATAATGTATTTCTTTTTTAGTGGAAAAAACCAAGAAAACCTTACTGAAGACAGGGAATAATCAGTATATAATAGATGCCGGACAGAAAAAGTTTGGCGCCACGCAGTGCACTGAGTGTGGAGTTATTTATGAGGTACCATTTGTTTTTTAGAATAACTTTTCTATACATTTTCTTCTTTTTTAAATCTTTTCAATTGAATTATTATGAATTGTATGTAATGTTTGAACAAAGTTGTTGCGTTATGAACTAAGTACATTGACACAATGAAATCTATACCAATATTATAAAGAGGCAAAGTTTGTTTGTTTGTTCTTACTAACTTACTTATCCAATATGAAATTTGCATTAGATAGCCACATATCATATAATATACAGTCTACCTATTCCACACTAACTGTTAAAACATACCTAGGGACGAACCCGATCGAGGGGGAGTTGCTAGTATTACCATAAACAAATAAGATTATACTATATATAGAAAATAAGATTATATAAAGTAAAAGACAAATAAGAACTGTCAAAGTGTGATCTGGATCTTAGTGTTGCAACCACTTTTAATACAAAATCCTAAAAATTTTTTAGTAACCATAGAACATGTAACAAAATAAATAGCGACACGGAACCTTTGTAACGTGATAAGGACTCAAACTTCACAGTTTTTTTATATTGTTACTTTTTCCTTTCGCAGATTGGGAATCCCGAAGACGAGCATGACCATTTAATACATCACACTGCTTCAGATGTACTGAGATTTAATGTAAGTATTAGTAATCTATTCTTAATATTATAAAGAAACAGAGTTTGTTTGTTTGTTCGAACTTATCTCAGGAGCTACTAATCCGATTTGAAAAATTCTTTTTACATTAGATAGCCCGTTTATTGAGGAAGGCTAGGCTATAGGTATATCGTCATACTACTACTTAAGGGAGAGTAATCATGAATCTCAACAAATCGGGTAGACTTCCATACTTTATCGTAAAACTGATGTTTATAATCAAAGAAATTTAACGCGGGTGAAACCGCGGGGCACAGCTAGTTATATTATAATGGAGCATTTATAAAATGATATCTATACTAATATTCTAAATGTGAAAGTTTGTGAGTCTGAATGGAATGTATGGATGTTTGTTACTCCTTCACGCCAGAACAGCTGAACGGAACTAGATGAAAATTTGGCACAGAAATAGATTATAGTCTGGAATTACACATAGGCTACTTTTTAACCCGAAAATGTGGTTCCCGTGGGATAGGTTTGTTAATATATAGCACTAGCAGAATCTTTTTTCTGTCCGGAAAACTAAAACTACTACTAAATAGCGGCAAACAGCAGAAAAATATATGAATTTATAAAATCCGTATCAACTATTAAATACTCTCATTAAATATTATATGTATGTTACTCCAGGGTTGGAAAGAAGAATGTATAGTGGACAGACAAGAAACATCCCGCTGTATCAAAGTACGGGGTGGTGATGCAGGGTGGAAGAGGGTGGAAACACTCCTCACCAGGGTCATTCACCCACATCTGGGATACGCTGAGCGACTCCCGCGGGATTCCCACACTTATACTGTACGTTTGGTTATTAATTTGAATTATTTTGGTATTCCTCTTCTTTCTTTGACGAAGAACTAGAAGAAGATTTAAGTATATAGGACTTTTAAGTATTTTGTTTAATACAAATGGAAGGCATATAGGTTTTTAGCTGGAAGCTCCATATGTATGTACATTCATATCACACTATGATTATTGTGAAAGTTTATGAAGTCTGTCAAATATAATAAAAAACAACTCTAAGAACATTGATATACAAAAACTCTAGCAACAAAAATAAGCATCTCAAAAGTGTCCTCTAATAAAAGCGGGCACAATTCGAAATTTGCGCTTTTTTCAAATATCTTTCGTTCATTGCCTATCGAATGACAAAATTAAAACGCACATTGTTTTTTGTTTGTTGTGTTGAACTTGTGTTTAGACAATTAGATTTATTTAGATTTTTCAATTTTATGCTTTCGTTTGACTTAACGTCACATACCGACATCACTTTTTGAAGAGATATTTGTTAGGAAATATGTATCTATGTTTTTATATATCATTGGACAAGAATTTTTTTTGCAGGCATATCTATGTATTGAAAAGAAACAAATATTAGGGTGTTTAATAATGGAGCCCAAAGTCAAGGCCAATAAACTCATTCCTGGCGACCCGGACTGCTGCAGTGCCGAAGAGTATCCAGTCAAGTAAGTTCCTTCTAATAAAATTACTATATTTATCTATTGTCATAAGGGTTTTTGGCTGCGAGTTTTTTTTTTTTGAAATTTTAGTACATACATATATTGGGAACAATTAGCAACTCTTAATTGCTTGGATTGATTTATGTGACTGTCTGTTTATGTCAACATACATATTTTTTGAGAATGTTCCAGATGAAAAATGTATCCAATTTTTAATTTATCAATCTTTCAATTCCTCAAAACTTACAGAACCCTTTTCACGCGACTCCTACACCCACTTACAGTATTTGCCACTTATGTAACCCATTAGAGGTCACCATACTCAATTGAGTACAGCCATTCTGCACTTTAGAAAGAGTTTATTTTGTGCAGCTTAAATTAAAATAAGTAAAAATCATTAAAATAATGCGTTTGGGGAGCCTCAACAACAGAAAGGTTAGGAATAGGAAACCCAGCTTTAGTTGGATCTTCTAGTCTCATCTAACCAATTTATTTATAAATCCATTTAATTACAGATGTGGAGTATCCCGAATATGGACCCACGCGAGTTTCCGCCGTCGCGGCATTGCTGTGAGGTTGCTAGACTGTGCCCGAGCCTCCCTACTACACGGGTGTGGGGTGCTTCTCTCTGAAGTAGCCTTCAGTGCTCCAACACCAGCGGGCAAAGCCCTAGCTACAAAGTACTGCGGCACACCAAACTTCTATGTGTACTTGGACTGAAGTGATAGTGTTTAGTGTTTTTTAATAGTGTCACACTGTAAAATATATAGTCGTCTCTCGTATATGTAATTTGCAACGAAACGGCATTACAGTGCTGCTTTACTGCAAAATAATTTGCTACAAAAATTGGTATTTTTTAACAACCCTTTTTTTTTTTTTTTTTTTTTTTATGTCGGGAAATGCATTTACGCATACCACCTGATCCCCCAGGTGGTGATGTGGGGCTCACCGGCTAGAAGAGCCGGTACTACCCACTAAAACCCGACATTCCCCTCCCCTCCGCCTTAATGGGACGCCGCAGGATCGCTTGCGCATAACTACTACGGCGCCCCGGCGGCAGGTCTGCCAACGGCTGACCACCACACCGATGGGGCTGCTCCACAGTCAACTCTGCTACACCAGAGAGGTACCCGGAGCAGCTCCATACAACCGAACCTCCGCCCACCGAAGTGGGCCACCTCCAATCGGCTGCAGAGGACAGGGAGAGCGGCAACGAAATACCGACACTCCTCTTCCCCTGCAGCCCCACCGCGTCCGCCATCAAACGGTGGCGGCCCCGTCTAGGCCGCGGAAGGTAGGGAGAACGGCGCACCGAAATACCGGCACTCCTCTCCCGCCGCGGCCTACCCCTCCGCCGGATGCGGGCCTGCGACCACAGTCCCGCAACCGGCACCCATCATCCGGTTGTGGAACCAAGCGGTCCCACCACCGGTGGCCGCAACGTCTTCGGCTCGAGGCCTAGACGAGCGGCCCCATCCAAGCCATTTGGTCCGCGCCGGATTTCTCCGGTACCACCCGCCGCCCTAAGCGGGTGGCATTCCCCTATCCGCCACCTGGGGACGCGCCCGGTAGGAGTTGGCTTCTCCCCCGGGAGTTTTTTAACAACCCTAGTTAACTGTACCCAACTGCCATACCTAAAAGCCATAACAAAGAATCGAACTGGCAACCCTAGCATTTGATAGTATTTTAGTACTGTATAGATGTTTATATTGTTTTGTCATGTTATGTAGGCATAGTGCAAAGTGGTTATTACCATAACATGCTTTAAGAAATAAGTCATTCGGTAAACTACATCTAAGTACTTTCTACTTATGGAATATATCACTTTAAATATATATATATATATATATATATATATATATATATATATATAAATTTTCTTCATGCTGTCTTGAAGCCATTTAACATTATATTTAATTTGTACTGAAAAACATCTTTATGTGAATTCTTCATTCATACCTATATTATGGTAGTGCAGTTAGTATTCCTTAAAATTTGTCAAAATACGAGTGATTGAACTTATTAAAGAATATTGTGTTGTATTTATATTTAAGGAAATTTTGATTCTTTTTGTTTTTAACAAATAATGAATAATTTGTTGTTATTTTTAAGTGTTTTAGGTTATTTTATTAGTTATTTTACTTAATAAGCTAAAAAAAGTATACTCATGTGGCATTAAGTGAAACAAATTTACAGAATATACTTCCTCATTTCTAGTAATTATGTGTAAAGTAAACGTGAAGTTTTTAATCTTATCTGTGTTTAAGCCATAGATAATATAATTGAGATTGCATTTTTTTTTAATATTTATAGTTTAAAATTTGGTAGTTTTTAAAGGTTTTCTTTTATATTTTATCTACAATTGTAAACATTTTAATAGATAATGCTCAGAAGAACTTTTATGTAATGAATGCCACAGTTAATGTCATTCCTACATATTAAGTTGCTTTTTTAGTCATGAAATTATTTTAGCAAGTAATTTAAGTTTATTTTACTTAATTATTAAAATTAAAATAATAAACGGGGACCACTATCTGGTATTTAAAGAAATTCCATTATAATAAGTGTCAATTGTTAGGTATAAAGGGCCAATTTGGTTAGTTTGTAAGTTCAGAATGTGCCTCAAATTTGTTTAAGTGAGATTAAGGAACATGTTTGTCTGATTTTTCAATTGTTAAATAATCAGAGGATTTATTAGATAAGATGCATTCTCTCTCGTCTATTCATTTAGAAAACTAAACACCATATATATGATATAATGACATATTAAATGTTACACCACATAGTCTTTGAAAAATTCTAGGGGTCGCTCAAGATTTTAAAAATTCTAAAAATGGTCGTTTTTTTGCTGTGATAAAAATTTAGTACCCAAAAAAAAAGTAATTTCCTTAGTAACAGCTAAAAATATAGATTTTTAAAGTTGCTCCAAACTAATGAAGATTTTTAAGTTCATTGCTTTTGATGTTTCCTAACGAATTAAAAAAAAATTAAACAAAAACAAGAGAATTGAATTGAATGAAACTTTTATCAAATGATTAAAAAATTAACCAAATGTGTTTTCTTTGATGGTATCTCGAATTTTGTATTAAATGGATATTTTAATCTGTTAAGAAACAACTGTTTCTCATAAAATTAAGATTTTGAATGAAGATGATAGTATTAGAGTTCCAAGGTGGCCCGTACCCAGCAGTGAGACGGTAAAAAATATTATATGTAATTGATAAAAAGCCATTTCTCTAGTTTTTAAATATTTTCTGAGTTTTTAGATATTATTTTTGATTTAAACGTTTCTTTCTTAAAAAGAAACGAGAAGAAAAAGATTTTTCATAATATTAAGATTTACATGCTTTAAATAAACCGAATAGAATTTCTGTTAAGCTCTCTAAGTAATGCCAGTTTTAAAGCTATCTGATTGTGGGAATGGAATTTGATTCTTTTTATTTTTAATGGCAAATCTTTGCAATTTTGTCGACTTTTTTTAATACATGATCAGGTAGCATGTGTTTAAATACGCTTATTTGTACATTTTTTTTATAAGTTGTATATTTTGATACAAGTTGACATAGTATAGTTTTTCACTTTCATATCTTTTTTCATTGGATTTTTAAATAAATACGAAGTGTGATTCACTTGGATTCAAAATTATTATTATATATATATATATATATATATATATATATCATTATACATTAATTCATTATATATATACATTAATTCATTTACTAAGTATGTTTTCTTTTGTAGCAAGTATTTTTATCTCCATTTTATATGTCTTATTTAATTTGTATTTGTCTTATTTATAATTTTAATTAACAATAGCTGTTTCTGCTGAATAAATTGAAGCGTTTTAATCCTACTATTAATATAGGCGAGTCCAAAGAGTCGTACCTACATGCCATATTGTAAATAATATTTATTTGTAACTGTTGTTTTTGAGCTGAGGACGAATATGTTTCATACAGATTACTCCGACATTTCTGTTTTATTTTTAATTTTCAGTCGCGCTTATGTCAATTTGTTTTAATAAAAGCTATTTTTTTTAATTTTGTTGTGTTATTTTTATATTTCTTTCTTATCTAGATAAGTTTTAAAATATATTATTATATACACTTTTGGGCTATACAAAATGTTTACAAAAAGGAAAACATCAAGAAGTTTTAAAAATATACATTTTAACAAGAACACTAACTTGTTTTAAAAAAAATGATAGCTTTTTGTTAATTCAAAATAATATGGACAATTATTTAATCAAACTTTACGAGTGTATATATATATATATATATATATATATATATATATATATATATGTGTGTGTGTGTGTGTGTGTACGTATAAGTTCTATCTAATGTCAATAGATGGCGTCATAATTACCAATTTAATAACAATGTGTGATTTAATTTATTTAAGAAAAATATAGATCTGAAAAAGGTAGTCTGATTTGACATAATAGTAAATACTCTTCTTAAAGTAATGAGTTCCAAAAACAAAAAATTACGCATTTTAAGTGTTACTTGAACAATTTGCTGTTAAGGAACTTGTACTCATAGTGCTGTTTATGTTTAAGGAATAATTACAATTGTTTGTGGTTGGTGATTGATTACCAACAATGACGCCTAACAAAGATTGTGTGCGGTCACATCACAGATGAAATAACACTATAGAGTGAAGATGTCCCATCTCAACATAGAAATTGGACAGCGCTACTTCGGGCTATTTTTGTTTTGGAAATCCTTTGACTATTTGAATAAATTATTCTTTATACCTGATGAGGTTATTGAAAATGGTTTGATAAAATTAAAAATTAATTTTGCTATATTTAACACATTTTTGTGTATAGCCATAAAAAATAAAACAGTTTAAAAGTTTGCAGAACAACATCTATCGTCTGCACAAGAAAATGAAAATATTTCAGTATACTATTTATTGAACCAGCTAAATTACTATATTTCTTTAAAATCATTATCTTATTACTTTATTATATTAGTTTCTATTGTGTATTCATACATTACGCTGTTTAATTTAATGACGTTTAGTTAACTTGCCGTTTGTTCAATTAAGTGCTAGTTTGAATTTAGATATAACCAACATATTTAAGTACCAACACCATCTATCTTGCTTTATTTACATGAATAGACATTCAAGCAAATAAAAATAGCCCAAATTAGCAGCGTTTAATAGTTAATATTTATGAAACTAATATAAAGGGATGTACGTAAATGTAAAATTGGGTACGAGGTGAATAAATAAAAAATCACAATTTAAAACAACATTTATTTTTACATACATTAAGTCGGATTCAAAATGCCTGAAACATACTGATTTTTGTGTACACATCAGTTTTAGATTATTAATTTCATGGACAGTAAATAATATATTCTCTTTGCGATTCTCATGAAACGATAAAATTATAAGCGTTCGTTATTTGATATAACCACCTCGCAATAAACACTACTATACACGTAAATATTAAAAATTTCATTTTTAATCTTTAGGAATTTCATTAATTAGGTATATTTTTAAATTAAATTTGTTAAAAATATAGATTTTTTAGCATATATTTAGACGTAGGTATTAAAATTAAATACACCACGTTACGACGTACCGTCAGAGGTATGGCGACGAGTACATACATACATATGCAGTACTAGTGAAGTGCCTCGAATGCGTTCGACCGAATGTTCGAGCTATGCTACGAAATTTTACTTGAACAAAATAAATCTACCGAAAGGTCGAGAGAAAACACGTTCGTGCTACGATGGAAAAAAATCTATGTACGCTAATTTAAATGCCATCGTTTTAATATCTAGAGCGAGACAGACGTGGTGGTACGTGGGGGTGGCGCGGGGTTCTGCCTGGGACGAGTAAAACATTACCAAAAATATTTGCGGCGACAGCTGCACTTTGAGAGTTCAAACTAAAGTTACAACATTAGTGTTGCCAGGTCCAAACCTAATGGGATTCACCTAAAAAAAGCTAAATAACCTTAAATTTTATATATATAACTAAATAACTTAATCAAAAAAATATTGTAGCAATTTGCGTTATCGAGCTGATGGAATTTCAAAATTCGGGCAAGCCCCGCATAAATCGGGACACCTGGCAACACCACAACCGTCCTCACATACATATTGTGCGCAAGTACATCCACTTATCTACTATGAAAGACATAATAAAAAAGGAGGAATCATTCAAATACTATTTGGTTATTGGCAACGGACGATACTTCACCTAACAAAGATCTGATCACGCGAAGTTAACGCTACACTAGATGTTCCTGCCTCGAATAGATTTTTACCGATCACCGAAACCGATACTAGATAAGTTGCGTTCAACTCGACATCGACTCTGGCAGTATTTAACTACATATCGAAAAACATAGAAAATATGCTAAGCTACTATATATATAATACATGACTCACTTCTTATTGCGCTTCCTTAATCGTACGGGGGTTGGCGGGGTCGGTGCAAATGTACAGGTCGGACCCCGGACGAGGCGATATTCCATACTTTCATATTACAATTTACGTTACATCCAAATCATTCCCCTTTTAAATCTCTAACTTGTGCTGAAGTCTGTTGGCTTGACGTGATAAAATCGAGTGAGATTCACGAAATCCAATGCCAAATCGCGGCTAACGTACACCGATTCCGCGAAGTCGGTTAAATACGTAAACATCTCACAGTATGTTCCTTTGTGTATCTACCATCATATTTTTAACTGGCCAAGTACTAAAACTGAATATTTATTGTAAATCCTAGAAAATCCGACGTAAAACTAGACATATCCAGTTAAAAATGAACAGGTAAAAAAAATATTTGCATCCGACTCATCGTGGACCGTAGAGCTGCAGAAAAGGATACCTTCACGAGTTAGCAGTCTACATTTATAGTAAATATTATATTAATATTATTATTTTTTTGTTACTTTTGCATTCATCAATATCGCGATAATTCTAAAACTTAATTAATTAAATAGCTACCAAATATTTTTAAGTTACATATACAATAAGTATATAAGACGCCATGTTATTTATTTCACAATGATATCTAAAATGCGCGGGAACCGCTCTTATTGCACGTACTATTATATAAATATACATACATAATTTAGAATTATTTTTTTTAGAATTTCGAGATATAAAGATGTACAAACATACGGTTTAACTTTATACCTCTCGAATGTCGAAAAATAGTATATATTCACACGAATATAAATTAAAAAAATAAAATAAATTTGGGCAATGTTTAATGTCAAATATGACTACTAATTATGAAGTAAAATATTAAATAAGTCTATAATATAATCGGAATATCAAAAACGAGCGGCCCCATGACCGCGAAATGTATTAACATAGATGCATCATTAAACATACATTATAATTCCCTACTTACAATCAAAAAAAAGAAAAATAACACAAAAAAAAGAAAATACAATTTCAATAGATTTTCTTTAAATATATAAAATATATAAATATATATATTTAAAAAAATAACGACGAGTGTTATTATAAAGTATAATATTACAAAGCAAAATAGCGCTATATTACACGTTACTAGGAAGGATCGGCTTAATTGTAGTTTTGACATACTTTGTAGTTTTGTGGTAACGTAACTGATGGTGTTTCCGTCCCTAGATATGGCACATACACTAACCGCTTCCGGCAATTGAATTATTAAAATTATATTAAGGACCATGATTATAATGACATATATGTATGTATGTATAAACTAAACACTAAATATCCATTCACTTAGCGTGTTAGAAAATGCGAAAATAATATATATGTATATATTAAAATTAATCTAACGATTCTTAACATTAAACAAAGACAACGAAATGTAGATCATTTAAGAATATTCACTAAAGAAACGCTCTGTAAGTAAGTACATGAACCAATTGTATATAAATAATTTTATAATTAACAATGTTAGCGTGTATAGGTTAGACGTTTGTACTTATGGCTACGGCTTAAAAATAAATGGGAAATATATTATAAATTAAAAAAAAAACATATAAACAAATCAATTCAAATACTGCTACACTCGATATTCTTACAGGCCACGTATCGAATACGTCGGCCACTCTTTGGATCTTAACATTAAAAAAAAATCATACAAATATATGTAAGTAAAAATATAGCAAAGCTGTTGCTTCTTGTTACTTATTTTAGTATGTGCGCTAAAAGAAACGGCTTAACAAGTAATCCCGTAAAACGTAAGTTAATTAAAAACAAATAATATATAAAATGGAAGACATTCATTAAAAAAAAAACTAAACGTACACGTAACTCTAACGAACCGGCGAAAAATTACAAAACGCGTGGTTCAAAAATAGTATGAGAAATCTCCGTGATCAAAAATATACAGACAGAAATGATAAGACAGTGTTCAAAATCGAAACAATGCTTAAAAACAAACTGTATATTTAACTATAAGTCGAATAATATTTAATATTAAAAAAAATGTAAACTAAAATTTGGCCTACGCTTGCGTACACAGGATTTGTTACTATTATTAAATTAAATAAATCTTATTTATATATCATTTTGTAGTACGTATATTGTGTAAGCTCTAACAAAACTGTCAACAATGAATATGAAATTGAACCAAAATTAGTGAAAGCAAAACATCATGCTTCATGAAAACTTTTAAATAGCCTCCAGTTAAATCGCCATACACCTATGATCCTTAATATAAAATAGTATTCGCACGTCAGCCGCTTCAATACAACAAACAAATAGAATGAATTCTACAACCTATTACAAATCGAAAATAAACGTATTTACCTACATTATAGTATTAAAATAAATCACTTGGGTTGTAAAATACATTCTGGATGCACATAGGCTCATATCTTAAAAAAAATATTAATTTCTGCAAATAAATTATAAATAGTGCATATAATATTTATTAATAACTAATATTGTGCATTGTTTTTCACTATTTACGCAAATGTCAAAATTCGCGCCATTTTCAATATACAGATTAAAAAATATACTGTCATTTCGACATCGATCATAGATAATTGTTTTTTTTTCTTTAAATAGTTTCAATGCAAGGGAGCCTATTTTCGATGTTACCAGCGTGTTGAACGTTCGGAAACACCATGTAAAGGAAATCACAGTGACACTGGCCGCACTAAATGTACTACAACATTGATTGAGCCATGCGACATTTTTAAAATTTCCCTCCATTTAATTACGAGTATATAATGTACATATCGATTATTTTATTAGTTTTTATTACATACGTATTCACTTACGGGTATTGTGCGAATAAGTGTTATTTTGGTTTAATAGCTATTGCTATACAAATTGTGTTTTAAACGTTCACACATCACCGCGACTATAACGCCACTAAATTAATACAAACGACGAAAAATGATCATAATTTCGAGTCCATTAGAAGACTTATTAATTCTAAAAATTATAAATTTGGTATAAACATTTGTTTTGTCTTTCAATACCGAGTCATAAGGTGCATTTCTAAATAAAATCTATATGCAAAAGACATATTAACTTTTTCCGGTGGTTGCTTTAACCGACTTTAAAGGAGAGCTATTATGTAGTATTTCATCACATACAAAGGACACGGTCCTATTTCAATAATTATATATATTTTTGTGTTAAACTGACTCTTGGTTATTAAAAGACAAATCGTAGTGAGAGTGATGGCGTTGGAGGTCGCGCGGCGAGCGGGTGTCGGCTGTCGGGCCAGTGTCGACGCAGATTGCTCTTCTCTGTTGGTTTCTGGAAAAGGAGAAAATATCTAATTATTGGTCGGATTAATTTTATAAATGTGTAAGTTTCTATGTATGTAAGTTTGTTTGTGTTTCTTCTTCATGTTGAAAGGGCTGCACAGATTTGGATGAATCTATACTAAAATTATGAAGAGGTAAAGTTTGTGAGTTTGTAGGGGATTATCTCTGGATCCACTGAACCGATTTAGATAAAATTTGGTAAGAAGATAGTTTGAGATCCTGGGAAGGACATAGGATACTTTTTAACCCGCAAATAATCCCTTAAGGGGGTGAAAATGGAAATGAAAGTTTGTATTGGGAAGCAAGCTAGGGACTAACCCGAGTTAAGCAATGGTGAGTCGCTAGTTTTACTATAAAGATAGACTATCTGAAGTAACACAAAGTCACCTAGGGATGTACCTGAACGTAGCGACGCTACGAAAATTATTGGAAATTATATTTAGTTGTGATAAAATATAAGTCGAGATCAAATAATATATACTAACAAAAGAATATGATTGTGTTTTTAATGTCCACGCTAAGTTCTTTTACTTTGGGTCTAAGGACTTTATTCGAGTGAGTGTGGTGTGAATGAGTGGTGTATGTAAAGTATGAGTTATACTGTATGTGAATGAGTGACTGAAGTGTGAATGATGTGTGAGTGAATTATATGTGAATGAATGACTAAATTAGAAATAGAATGACTAAGTGTAAATCTTCTTCTTCTTCTCGCACGGCTATTTTCGTACTTGGGCAGCATTGCCCATTGTACGTGAGCTTGTGCTAGTTGTGTGTTATTCTTTCCACCCCAGAGCGTCCCAGTAGTCTAGCAGGTTGCCGGTGTCCTGGAAGATTTCCGGGAGCGATCTTTTCGAGCGGAGCTTTTCTAACTAAAAACTAAGTGTAAATGAGTGAATTGTAAGTGAGTAAAGTGTAAACGACTGAAGTGTGAATGAGTGATGTGTGAGTGAATTATATGTGAATGAGTGAATGAATTGTACTATAGTACGAGTGAGTGAGTGAGCGGATCAACAGACCGTGGCGGCGTTAGAGCAGCTCGTACTGGCGCAGGTGCATGCGCTGTATGATGTCGCGGCAGTCGTTGAACACGCGCTTGATGTTCTCAGTGTCGACCGCGCACGTGAAGTGCGGGTAGCAGTAGTGCTTGCCGTCGCCGCTCGCCGTGCTTATACGCTGGAATATGATAATTTATATATTAATGATGTCCTTATAAGAATATATACATACAAATTATGTACTACTTTATTGATGATGGTAATGAAAGGGTGAACTGAATTAAAATATTTTGTCGTATTTTAATTTTTATTCCTGACGTTCTAATGTTTTAGAACAAATATAGCCAGTTTTTTTTATCATGTGTTAAAAATAAAAAAGACCGCGAAAAATTCCAAAAAAAATAGTTCATTTAAAAGGTATAACTTCTCAAATTTAAATCCTTATATGATTTTTTATATTTAAAAAATCATACAGTGCGATTGCCCATTGATTTTAAAAGAAATATTGTCATATGGAAGTTCAAAAAATACTAATTTTCACCACTAATTTTCACGTTGTCGAACAGTTTCGAAGTAGTGGCATGTTACAATTAAACTTGTCAGCCCTCCAACTTTCTCCACACAAAAAATCACGCCAATCCGCCAAGCCGTTTCGACGTGAAAGATACGGTACGCATTACATTAAAACTTTGAGTAACAGTATAAAAAAAATGTTTTAAAACAATATCAAATATGCATATTACAATAGCACTCCCAAGGATTTTGGATTTTGGATTGATGTCAGGCAGGCGGCCGGTAGTAAAACTTTTGCCAAATCCTATCAGCAGTACGGAAGATGTACTACGCCGACCCCAAGTGATTGGGAAATGGGCAGGAAGATGATGATGATGAAACAACTGTATGGATGAGCAGGCTGTGACTATAGACATAAAGAGTGGAGTAGTGAGTGTTTCTTTGCCAGCCGTCACCTGAATATGGCGGACAGGCGCGACAGATCAAAACGAACGTCTGGTCAGAAGTCTTCTGTATTCATTGAAATACGATTAATGAAGATAGATAATCTGTAAAATATTATAAATCTCAACAATATAATATTTTTTTCACATTCCATTTATAAATTCAAATTGGAGCAAAAGACGGGTATTGACCGCACGTTCGCGTTCTTTCTTTCTAGAGAGTGGTTAATTTCATGAGAGTATAGGCAGTGGTAGCCAGGTGGTAACACGCTCGCTTGGGAAACCGAGTGAAACGGGTTCAAATCGCGGGTCTCGCACCTCTGATATTATCATGTGCGAATCATTTCCAACATGATCACCACTTGTCTTAACGGTGAAGGAAAACATCGCAGAACTGCATGCCTGAGAGAACCTAGCAAGTTCTAAAACTACATGATCGGTCTGCCGGCACTCGGCCAGCGTGTTGGACTATGGCCTGATTCGCATATTGAAGGAAGGCCCGTGCCCAGCAGTGGGACGTTAAAAAGGCTGAATAATATACATAGGTACATATATTTGCTCAGTCAATTCTCTATATGGCTATATGACTGGAACAACTAACCAAGAACTCGTCCCGTATGAAGTACTTGGCTCGAGCCACCTCCGGGTGGTCGCGGGCGTCGGGGCTCGCGTCGGGCGGCGTCTGGTAGCGCGCGAACTCAGAGAAGTACTCCTCCAGCCGGGACTTCCCCAACAACACCTTCTCCGCCAGCAGATCCTGCTTGTTCAGGAACAGGATCACTGATATTGTGCGGAGCCATCTGTAATTGTAATTGTGCACTAAGTATGTGTATGTTTGAGTGATTAAAAAAATTTATAAAGTAACTAGCAGAACCAGTAGATTCGCTCGCGCTAAAAGTAAAACTACAAAAAAAATCTCTAAAAAGGTAGGTTTCATATAAACTTTCATGCTCAATTTTTCAAAATTTTTGAAAAATGCTAAAACACGTATTTATTTTATTGTATTCAAGAACATTAATACCAAGTTTGAAGTAATTCTGACGACAAATATTTTTTGGGTTGTATTATAACATGTTTTCCCGTGGGAATGAGATAATCTACCGAGGTAAAAAATAGCCTATGTCACTCTCCAGCCTTCCAACTATCTCCACTCAAAAAATCACGCTAATATGTCACTCCGTTTCGACGTGAAAGAAGGACAAACAAACAAACACACTTTCATATTTATAATATTAGTATGGATAAAAAGTAAAGTAATAAAAAAAGTTAACAAAAATAAAAATTATGAATATCTAACAAATAATTAATCAATAATTTATTGAAACTAATTAAATAATTAGTAATCTTTGAATTATTATATACTATCAATTACTACATATTATAATTTATTTCTAACAACTGTGCATGTAATTATTGTATAAGTCATTTTTACAAAAAAAAAATTTACTCAAACATTAAATTCTGTAGTCAATTTAAGTGAATTAAAAGGCTTTTTTATTTATTTTATTTTATATGTTTCAGTGTGTAAGCAATAACCGTTTTTTAAGTACGTTGAAATTGCTCAACGGATTTGGATGATGTTTGGTATACATGTACATAGATTATAGAGTAACACATTGATATTATTGTTTCTTCCTAAAACAGTCGGGCGAATTTGGACGGAATTTGGTAGTTAGTTTACTGTTGGAAAATTAGGAATCATCTGAGCAAAGTGAGGGTAAATCGTTAGTTTATAATTGATTGATTGAATTTAAGAATGGGGATCAGGTTACCATACTGGTCAAGTGCGCGTTTTCTGACTTCACATGCCTTTGAAAACGTATTAAATGTATGAATGAATGAATGAATAAATAAATCTTTATTGTACACCCAAAAAACAAAAAGAAAAAAGAAAATAAACAAAATATAGAACAAGATACAAGAGGGGGCCTTATCGCTAAAAGAGCGATTCCTTCCAATCAACCTTTAGGTGTAGGAAATAGTACTAAGATAGAAGGAGCGTGAATATAAATCTACTGAAATATACAGGCGCTAATAAGCCACTCCCTTCGCCCCCACTACGATAAGCTGAACACATATCGGGGGGCTCTAGGCTGCCATTACCTTATTCTATATCCACAAAAAGAACAGTGCACATACAAAACTATGAACGTCTCAAACTATAAATTAACATACAATTTAATTATTTTAGGCATTTTCAATGTAAATTTTACTAAATTAATAATGTATCAAATTTTTTTTAATTATTTATTTTAGTTTAACGCTTCCAAATTATTTAATAGCTTTAATGTGTGTGTGTGTGTGTGTGTTTTTTTTCATTTAAGATAATTAATAAGTAGTGATGTTATTGTAATTTTATTTATATTTTAATTTATTGAAATTTAAAATTGTGAATTAAATTTATGCATCCTGTATCCACTTTAAAATGTAATGCATTTAGGATTAACTTAAATTGTGTCTTTAATTTAAAAATGTTTCAATGTAATTATCACTAGTGGATCCAAATCTATACAGATAAATAAAATTGAAGTGTCTGTTTGTAATGTCAAAATAACAGCGTTTTACTAAATGCATATGAAATTATATACGGTATTTATAAAAAAAACACCATTTTTTAATTTTTTGTCTGTTTGTTTGTTTCGGATAATCTCTGAAACGGCTGGACTGATTTTGATGGGACTTTCACTGGAAGGTAGCTGAAGATATAGGGAGTAACATAGGCTACTTTTATTTTAGAAAAAGAATTAGGGTTCCGCTCCAAACAATTAAAACGTACCTAGGGACGAACCCGAGCGAAGCGAAGGTGAGTCACTAGTAAATAAATAAATAAGAAGCCCACCTATTATTCCATATACTCTTGAACAGGTCGAGCGACTCCCGGAGGCGGTTCTGAGTGGGGTCCTCGCGCAGCACCATGTTGTAGGACGAGCAGGCGGTCACGAAGATGATGGCCGTCACGTCGTTGAAGCACTGTATCCATTTACGTCTTTCATCACGCTGTCCGCCCACATCGAACATACTGTGGAAATAAATAAATAAATATAAACATGTTGGAACATATCTTTTTGATTCATTAAAACATAGGGTAATTAGACAAATGTTCGCCCTTAAAACACTAATACCTGCTGTTGCAGTCCCATAGCTTAGCACTATCTCATTCAAACTATATAAATATAAATAAATATGTTGGGACATTAACACACAGCACCATTTAGTTCCATGGTAAACTACGAGGCTTGTGTTATGGATACCAGATAGTTGATACACTACACATATATAACTTTAAATACATGCACAATATAAATATTTAAAACACCCACGACTAGAGTACAACATCACACAAGTGAATGCCCCTGTGGGACTCGACCCCCCGACCGCTGGCACAGCAAGTAGGGTCACTATAAACTGAGTCAAACGTATCATAAAACATTAGAGATAAACGCGTACGACTTATATTGCATTTCTTACAATTACTCGAGTATTTGACATTTTAAATAATACTATCCTTTCGGATTTTTTTGCGGATTTATTTTGATTTTTGGTTGCCGACGCGACGTTTCGAATGCTTTACAGCAATCATGGTCACGGGAGAGACTATCACTGGACCAGTCAGTAGCAACGTCTTGAAATATATCTGGCATACCCAAGACTTGATGTCTCTGTCTGAGTTTAATTGTGTTTAGACAATTAGAACTTTCAATTTTTGTCGACATTCGTCACATGTCGACGCCAATTTATGAAGACATATTTGTTAAATATTTTTTTTTTTCATATTTAAAATTCTAAAAAAAAAGTAAATATGGAAGGCCCAATACCCGACTGGCCTTAAAAGTTGCATGATGAATAGAAGTTTAAAATAGTAAATTTTCAAAAAAATACACACAGTTAAATAATTATAGTTAAATAATATACCAAAACGATTGAAAACATACAAAAAATCTCGATAAAAACATTATAAATATTTTTTTATATTATGTTTTGTATAAAGGTCATCTTTTGTACTAAAAAAGTACCAAAATATTAAAAAAAATCAAGAATAAAATTTTTAAAAACCGTCCGATTTGACGTGGAATGCTCTATACATGTTTATATATTATATAACATCTAAAAACCAATCACAAGTACCAGGCAAGCATAAACTCACTGGAAATTGACTTTGTCGACGACGAACTGCGTCTCGAATATTCCAGAGGTGAGCACGCGGCAGCGCAGGATGTCCTGCTCCGTGGGCGTGTAGTCCGCGCGCTTGATGATGTGCACCTGGTCTAGGAAGCTGGGGACGGACAGACAAACATACAATTATTATTTATATTATATACTGGCGATAGGTAAGTTTTAATATTTTTGAGCGGAACCCTATCTTTTTTCTAAAATTAAAGCAGAAGTTACTTCTTATAACCTCAGTTATCTGCCAGTGAGATTCTCGTCACAATAAGTCCAGCCGTTTCGGAGATTAGACGGGAGAGACAGACAAAAAATTTCAAAAATTGAGTTTTTCTTATAATTACCGTTTAATGTGTATAATTTCATATGCATAGTAAAAAGCTGTTATTTCGACATTACAAACAGACACTTCAATTTTATTTATCTGTATAGATTATGTGGCGTCACCATATGAGGGGTGAAGGGTGAGAGGTAAAGCGTTTCAGGTACCAGGAGAACATAAGCATCAGTAGTTAGTAATGTTCTCCTAGCCGATTTCGACCACGGCGGCCAATCTCACTGAGAATAGCCAACAAGAGATATTATAGTGCAGCGCGTGTGTCTGTGTATCGATGTACGCGCAGTCACACAACGTGCACTCTCTATAGTTGTCATTCTCAAAGTCCGAAGGGAAAATACTTCGACACGACCGATAAGTTAAAGCACAGGACCGATGGCTTTACATGCTCTCCGAGGCTCGGAGGTGACACTGCTATTGAGAATTCCTTAACAGAAAAACTCAATAACTAAACTTGGCCCGACCCGGGATTCGAACCTAGGACCTCCGGATCCGCGGCCGTACATGTACAGCCACTAGATCACCTAGGCATTTCAGTAGGTACGTACTACTTAGCGCAGTCAATTAGCTGGTACTCGTTGCTGCGCTCGTACGTGCGCTGCACGCCCTGGTCCTTCCACAGCTCCTCCGTGTGCTCGTAGAACTCGGGCGGGTAGTCGAAGTCGGGCTGCGACGCTACGTCCTGGGAAAATTAAATAAAATAATTAAATGCAATTAAAAAAAAATAAAGAAACTTCAAGGATTTACATTTTTGTATTTATTTTCTTGCATTGAAGGTAGCAGACATTGTCTTGTTCTAAATTTAAATATCTATGCGTGACCTTTGGAGATTACACAAAAATAGCACTTGTAGGTTTTACTGAATTTACCATTTTTTCGGTAATTTTTTCCGTCTTCTTTTCCCTAAAAACTTTAGTATGAACATTAAAAAAAAGCCAAATATGCCCAAGCTTTCTCAAGTGATGTGCTAAAAAACAAACATCATTTCATTTTCCTTATCAAAATCGATGTATGTATAAGTAAATTTTAGTTATACCTGAATGTAGTCTACGCGCGCCTTGTTCTCCGGCTTTTCGAGCGGAATGGGTGGTGTCAGGGTGCTCATCGCGCCTGTGATTGTCTGAAAACGATCAATTCCAAACTTTACCTACATATACAATATATAACGTAGTAATAAATATTATTAATTGTAGCGTCAATATAGCCCGAAAAACCTCTTGGTGACTGAAAAAGCTCTCAATTTTCTCATTATCCGTTGAACTGTTTTAGCAGTTGTTAAAGTATGAAATTTAACCCTAGAAGCTCAACATTCATATGAGATATCTAGTTTAAAATTACAGACAAATCAAACAGATAATTACAAACTCGTACACATATAAAAAAAATTTACTCACAAGTATCGCATCACGGATATTCTTCTTGATATCCTCGATCTTCTCGCGTCGTTCCTTATCAGAGAAACCGTTCACGTGAAGTATGCGCATCTGCTTGACAATCGTCGACTTACCGGACTCGCCGGCACCAAGTAGGAGCAGACGATGCGTTGCGCGGTACAGCTAAAACCAATATTTAGAGCAATAAACCAAATTATTCAGTTTTGCTATACATAATACAATACTAATCATCTTCTTCTTAGTATTAATTTTCAACTTCTTAACACTAATCTCCTTCCCCTTGTCCTTATCACAAGCTATATGAGGCGTCACAACATGTTTCCTACTTCCACTACTCTCTATCTGCAGTTATCGTTTACACATCACACACTTTACACACAGTCTATCAATACCTCGGTCACCTTCTACTGCTATATTCAGCCATGTTCATATTTAATACTCTCTTGCATATATGAATTTCCTCTCTCTTCATGAAAGACCCAATAATAAAACTTATGTAACGTACGTATCCAGCCAATAACCTAGATCTATATAAAAAATCCTGTCAATTGGTCTGTAGGTTAGTGTATGAAAGAAGGATAAACTTAACAAACACATTTTGGTATTTATAATATTGTATTGGGCGAGTTAATCTGAGCGGATTTGTTGCAATGGCTCTTTAAATAGGCCACAAAAATACTCCGTCCTTGCCTATAAGAACGCGAAACTCAGTACTTCTTGAAAGGAAACTTAGCCATATTTTTGGTTTAGGAGATCTCGTAAAATGAAAACAGTATTGAATTCCGTCAAATCGTTTTTTGAATTATGACTGAAAAGGCCAACAAAAAAAACCAAGTAAATTATTACCCTTGAAGGCCAAGAATCATATAAATCGTTTAAAAACTAGCGACGATATTTCACTACACACACAAAAAACATCAATATAAAACATACATCATCATATACGTATTGGAATAATATTCGTTAACTGATGTTATTATACATAGTTGCTAAATATGCAACATAATATATTATTGTTGTAATACAAATATTTACGTACATATCCGGCTCGAAGGACCAAATATTATTTTAAGTAACAATTAGGCAAATATCATAATCATTCGCGTTTTATCAAATGAAATTGTATATAAAGTAAAATACAAACATACTAAAACAACACGTTAACTACCTACGCCAGTAAACAGTAACTATATAGTGTTTTTATTGACACTCTAAAAATTATGCACATATGATTTTCATAGCAATTTTCAGACAGCCGCTCCATGTAAATTTTATTTTTCCTGTTAGAAAAAATGAAAACAATAACAACAACTGTGTAAAAGTGTATGATTACAATCAATTAAATAAACGTTTCTATAATTGAGGAGGTTCTTTTCAAAACATGATTATTCCACTTTTTGTATTTTTTCACAATCTGAGAAAATAGTTTTGTAGGTATGCAGCTATGTTTTTAACCCGAAATTTTGATGCATTATTGTAGACGACAACAATATAGTCATTGATTTACCAGAAAAAAAAATTAAAAGGCATGATTTCGTGTAAATTTGAATGTTACCAAACAAAAAAAAAATAAGTTTCATCAAAAATGGAATAGTCAAGTTTTAAAAAGAAGCTCCTCAATTAATATAAAAGTGTCAAAATTACGTTTAAATTGCGACTTTGCGGAGTCCACTAAAACATTATTAATGTATTTGGTACAGTACTTTTAACTGTGTAACCTGATTTCATAAATAGAGCAGATCTCGAAGAAATTATAATGCACTTTAAATTTCACGAGCAACAAAACATTAATATTTGGGTTTAACTTAGACTAAAGATGTGAGTGAGTGTTAAAATATTTTTTATGAAGATAAGAATTAAGGAATATTGATAATGCATATATTTAACTTTTGTTTGAGCCATGGAAGGCATATTGTTTATTTTTATATTATTTATATCTGCCCAGTCATACATGCCCCCAATATTAAAAGTGAATACGCAACCACAATACACGAATATCAACAAAATTGGTCGTAGTCATCTCGTAAGAAATCTCAAAACTGTAATTATTAATTTGGACCATCACCAGCCTAACAGTTAAAAGTTAACTTGTCAGTTAAAATGTGACCCACCTGCTTGTCTTTTTGCAGCTGGCGGGTGATGGCGTCACTACGGCGCTTTTGCGACTTGGCATCATCCTCGCCGCTCTTAGCGCCGGGCGACCCGAAGCACCCCATGGCCGACCACGCCGCCCACCTGAAGACAAACAAAATAATTTTTAATAAAGCTATGTTTTCGGTGATTTTTCCCCAGATTTATTTTGATTATTGGTTCCCGACGTTTCGAATGCTTTATAGCAATCGTGGTCACGGGAAAAACTAGTAAATATAAGTAAAAAAAACAACTATCTATCCTAATATTATAGAGGTAAAGTTTGTGAGTTTCTGACGTTGTGTGAGGGGGGGGGGGGGGGGGTAATCTCTGGATCTACTGAACCGATTTAGATTAAATTTGTTAAGAAGATAGTTTGAGCTCCTGAGAAGGACATAGGGTACTTTTTATCCCGGAAATAATCCCTTACGGGGATGAAAATGGGGATGGAAGTTTGTATTGGAAAGCAAGCTAAGGATGAACCCGAGCGAAGCAAGGGTTAGTCGCTGAAGTCTGATTTTTAATTCCACGGAAATGTGACAGCTGTCATTCTTTGAAAATTCAGATATCATAAACCTTTTCTGCTTTGATTTTTTTAATATAAAATAACAAAAAATATGAAAAAGAATTAGATCAAGTAAACTACATATAATATGTATGACATTGTAAATAGTCTTTGTTTTGTGCATTCAATGCACGCTAACTATAATGTACATTTTTAATGGTTAAATGAATAAAACAGAGTAAAACAAAATATTTTACAAAGGGGTTTTCGTAAAAAAGGCTTGCAACCTATGGAATAATAATAAAATATAGAAAAATAATTTCCTTAATAATTATTGTAACTTCAATAATATGATAATAAAAAAAAATTACCATTTTAGAGTTAACAATATTTTTTTTAGTCTTAGTTTTTCTAATTGAAACCTTAACTTCAAGAAATGTTTATTTTTTAATTTTGCTAAAATGCTTTCCGTTTTTAGTGACAATGTATCAAAGATGACAACACTTCTGAAATGTCTGAATTTCGTCGAATTAAAAATCAGACTTTAGTTTAAAATAATCTTCTTTTAGTTTAAAATAATATATTATTTACTAGCGACTTACAATCGCTTCACTCGGGTGCGTCCCTACGGTACATTTTTAATAGATATTAAATAGTTATAAGCCAGCTTTAGCAAGTAATTTTTTTTTTAATAGTTATTCTTCTATTCGGAGCGGAGACAAATCCATCAAATCAAAGATCATAAAAAAGCCGTTATTGAATTATAAATGATGTAACTGACAGAAGAACATTAAGAAAATATTAGCTCTTGTTTTTGTCATTTGGCTACGGAACCTTAAAAAAACAAATGTTGAAACATTTTAGTCTACAAAAGCTACGTTTTCTAATGCAAGTACGAAAAAACATTTCGTTAAGGAATTTGTAACTGATTTGGATGCGAATCTAAATATCTGCCATATTATCTAATAGGTGTATTTAAACGAGCAATTCTTGTATATTTATTTATACCGGTGATCTCGGAAACGGCTCTAACGATTTCGCTGATTATTTGGTACGTGGGGGTTTTCGGGGGCGAAAAATCGATCTAGATTAGTCTTATGTCTGTTAGTTTTCATACGGTTTTCTTTCGCTTTATTCCACGCAAAATATTTTCGCTAATTTCGCACGCTCGGGCATAAGCATCGTGGTTAAGCGGCCAAGGCACAAGATTGACAATCACAAATGTCCAGGTTCCAATCCCGGCCAGATACAAAGTTTTTACTTTTGTTTTTTGATCTAAAAATACGATATAACAAAAAAGAACTCCGAGCGAAGCTCGATCGCCCAGGTACTATAGCTCTTATCCAAGTAAATGCTTTTTTTTAAATGTTACATACTATGTAAATGTAATTTGTGATTAGAATATCGTAGAAAACCATAAAAAGAACAACATTTTAAGATTTAAAAAATAAGTTATTTGAAATCATAATGTTTCGGCGCCGAAAGTCGTGACATGAACTTTACAATGTTACTTCTAATATGCATTTAACTCAATTTTGCAACACATACTTTTGAATATCTTATTACATTTTTTATTTTCTCCATTGCGTCACCATTATTAGACATTTAACATGGTCATAGACAATAAACCCATGGAAATTAACTTTCGTTTCTACACAACCATAAATACCATTCAGGCATACCAAAGAGTTTATGAAAATCCAAGTACGACCTCATCCGTCCGTCCGTGCTATTGTGCTTGAGTTATTTGTAGTCAGAGAGTCAATATCCACATTTAGTAGATATCTCATATTATAAATTTCATATTAATGTAGAAATCTATATGTGAAACTTAAAAACTAACTCATATATATTTAAAGTTATCGAAGCAAAAGTGATATAGCCATAACATAATTAGTATTGAAAAGTTGACATAATATATTAAAGTAAATAAACTTTTACAAACACATGAAATAAAAAAGCGTAAACAAAGCATAATTTCTATATTAAAGGAAAGTTTTTTGAAATAATATCATTAATACAGAGGTACACCATCTCACTAATTGCCTCGTGCTATCAAAGTCTAGACGTAGTTTTTATTATTATAAGGTACTAGCGACTCGCTTCGCTCGGGTTCGTCCCTACTTACGTATCGATTTCTTAGAGATGAGATATTTTCCCGCAGTAAAAAGTATCCTATATGTTGACCCGGATAACCAGCTATCATCATACCAATTTCATCAAAATCCCTCCAGTGGTTTTTGCGTGATGCGGTAACAGACAGACAGACAGACAGACAGACAGACAAAAATTCTAAAATCTATAGGTTCGGCCTCTGTATCGATAATAATGTCTATTTCAATAAGATTTTTCAAAAAATATTTAATGTACAGATTCGGCTTAGTTACAATGTTATTATATGTATAGATATAATTATTATGAGGACCCCATAACCTAATCGTATTGGGACACAGACGTACGTCATATGGAAAGGCTAGGCATCCAGCTCTTGGTCTAATAGGGCTATTCAGACGATTGTTCACGCGCGGTAACGCTGCAAATATGCTAATGGCCTCATTATGAACGGCTTTTGTCGCGCGTATGCAAAGCGATTTTGGTAGCTAATTCGATCTTCGAGTTTCGATTGTGGACACTGGAGTTTGTTGGTGACACGATTGTTTTGATTTTAGCCTGCTTGAAAATTTAAGTTATTTACAAAAATCTGTTGACTGTTCTTACATATATATATATATATATATATATATATATATATATATATATATATATATATATATAATCAGGGCTGGATTTAGAAGTGGAGGCCCGTATTAATATTACAAAGGATGTAAAGAAGTTCTTTGGGTTTTCCTTTTACTTTACCAAATTTATGGAACCAAAAAATAGGCTCAGATAAAAAAAAATAGGACAATAGCATGAAATATTAATATAAGTTTATAATCGCATTTTTTTTGTGATGTAGCTACAAAACGGCTTTCGGATTTTGCCTTTACTTGTGCTATAAGACATTGCTTTTTGCCAAACATGATTCTCGTCGTCTTGGGAGTGTCTAAATGCGGCAAAAACGGCCGTATCTTTTGGTTGCGATGACTTAAAAGTTTGATTTTTGCACAATTTGATTGTAGACCTGATACGTATGTATTTGATATTAATCTCAACTTGATACCTCCACGTATTTCTGAGAAAAAGGGTCTTGACAGACAGACAAACGGACAAGGAAGTGATCCTATAAGTCTCTAAAACAATCTTGTTTTCTTTTAGAGGCACTGAACCCCACAAATATGAATATATCTAGAAATATCAATGGAATTCTGGGGTCGTTGCCTTGGTTGCCCTCTAAATACGACTCCGAGTATAGCAGATGATTAAACAAATCAGACGCAGTATAGTTATTTTTAAGTTTTTTATAACAATTTTATATAAAAATACCCTTAATTTTGCAAGCAATAGAATTAATGTTGATATAATAGTTCAAAGAGCCCAATTTGTTTTACTTAGCAGTTGAAGTTTGTTTCCAACGGCCCTGCGAGCCGTTTCTAACAATGCTTCAATTTTGCTGACGAGTTAGCCTTTAGCAAAACGACTGATACAAATCTAAACTTAACTTTTGCTTCTATAGTTAGTTACAATACAAATGTTACGGAGGGTTTCTTATCATATAAAATCCATGTATATACATACATATGTCTTTAAGTAATTTAATTCACAAAGAAATGGTCAATTGTAAATAACAGCTGATGTCCAAACTTCATTTTTTAATGACAAATAGTTGTTTCAAAGAACGAGTCCACTTATTATGTACTAAATTTCAAGTTTCCGTCCAGTTAAAGAAGAGAAACAAACGGACAAATCAAATAGTGGCCCTATAAAGGTATCTTTTATCTAAAGTAATAGAAAAATATGTAAAAAAAATTATTATTCTTATTATTATATGTACTTAAATCTATAAATCATTATTAAGCGACTCCAGGTACTTATATCGAGCACATGTAAGTTACGCGGTATTTAATCCAATTGTGAACCTATTTTCGTAATATTTTTTTAAGTAACTACGACTTACGTACGTTCGTCCATATACTTAAATAGTTTAGAAATGCATTAAAGACAGACGTCCAAAGAAAAAAAATTCCAATCAGGAATCTCCGCAGACGTATACAGAATAACCCATCACAGTTTCATCACAATCGGATCAATGCTTAAGGAACGTATAGAGATCAAACATACGAACATCTATACATATAATAAATTATAACTAAGCCGAATCTGTATATTAGATATTATTTATATACTTATGTATATTTTTTCTGTATATAATTATTATATATGTATACATAATTGTATACATATGATAAAATTCTAACTGAGTCGAATCTGTACATTACTTAAATATTTTTTGGAAAATCTTATTGAAATAAACATTATTATCGATACAGAGGCCGAATCTAGTTTTTAGATGTTTTGTCTGTCTATCTGTTACCGCATCACAGAAAAACCACTGGAGGGATTTTGATGAAATTTAGTATGATGATAGATTATCCGGGTCAACATATAGGATACTTTTTACCACGCGAAAATATCTCATTTCTGAGAAAAAATACAAAAA